TAAATAAAAAATAGGCTATGCAAAGATTATGCACTCACATATTCACAGGCATGTTAGCAGGATGTGTCTGATGATATTCTATATTTTTCTTATTGTCAACAAACAATAAGTGTTGTCAGCTTATATGTGCTTCTGTGCATTAGAGCTCCATTGTTGTCTAAAAGCAGAACACATCAATGAGCCACACTGTTGCAGCGGCTGACATGTTTATCATTTAGAGTTAATCCAACATACACAATCCTGCTGCCAAAAATACTAGCGTGTACATCAGATCTGAGGCTGAAAATAGTTCCAAAGAAATCTCTATGTAATTTCGTTTGAGTGACATTTGTTAAAAGCAACAGTGCCCAGCTCTCATGCTCAGGAAATAATTTAAGTATGTATTCACGGCCCGTTTTTAAAGATTCATTGAGTAAATAACGTGCCTGAGGCTCAGAGACAAGTTACAAAGCAGCTGTCGGTCTCTCACAGAAAATGTAACAAAAGTATAAAATATCGCCATCCTTTTACTTATCAGGCATTCATTATCTGTTTCTGCCCCAGTACCAGACGCTTCATATGAACAGCTAGTTGTTGACAAATAACAGGGCTGCCCTCTGAAAATCGAAGACCCCTCAGTCAACCGAGATTCTTCAAGTTGAGCAGTCCCTCTTTGACAGAGTTTGTCAGTCACTGTGCAGAGTACTTCTGAGAACATTGTGGTCCCCAGAAATAGCTGCAGAGTCAGCGCTCCTCGCTTTCATGCAGCTCTCTGGGGTAAAATTATTACACTACGTGAAGATGTCTGCAACGTGTACAGGTAGGAGGAAGTGGCTTTGCACAGTCAGGCACCGAAATAACGTTATCTTCTGCCTTCTGCTTGGAAGTGGTGAATTTGCAGCTCACAGCAACTTAATTTGCTATAACCTTTCTCTCCAAAAAACTTTAGTTGGTGGGGTTAGCACGCATTAGTTCGGAGGGCTAATTTGGCGTGTTTATTATATAACATCAGTGTCACTGTCACCCTGAACATCCCACCGAACCCTGTTAAAAAATGTGGCAGTTTGAGAGATGTTGCTTGATCGCTGATTTGGAAAAAAGAAACAAATGGTCAAATATTTTTATTGAAGCCAGATCCTATTCAACAGACAATTTTGAGTCAGGTACAGCCCTAACAGATAAATACATTTTAACTGTTACAACTACATTATAGTGTGTTATACGTTATTTATTAGTTGATTATATAGTGCTTATAAATGATGTCCTCTCTCCTGCCCTCTGTAGGAGACGCAGGAGCTTGAAGTCACACACAAATAGACTCAAAAACAGTTTTACCCATGAGCCATCAGGCTGACAAATCAATGTATATAAAAATAATTTTGCTTTTCAAGTGCAATCCACTATTTATTTTACAACAGCTCGATACAGCCAATTTTTATCACTCTTCTGATTTTATGAATGATTATGTTGTCTGTTTTTTTCTACTTACTTGTAATAATACTAATTGGCACCTGATCAGATGTAGCACTCCTAATCATGTATATTCTGTGAACAATGACAATAAGGGCTTTCTATCATAACAGTGAGTGCTATCGTTTTGAGTCACTTAATGAAAGCACATTCGTGGGATTATAGATTATTGTCTCAGCTAAAGACCCTTACTGATTTATTCTTATGCAGGAAAAAAATGGTTGAGAAACAAAGACGGCTTCCTGGCTAGGGATAGGACAATACACAATTTTAGCAGGAATCTTGATGAAATAAATAAATAAATACTCTCAAAATAATTTGATCACGGTAAATTTCTATTATCAGGAAAATTGTGAATATTGTGTCCAACAGCACCCAAAGAGACGGCTGGGCAACCAACAATAAAAGAGACTGGCTACAAATGCACCAACCTAAAAAAAAAATAACAACAAAAAAGAAAAACGCAGAGTATCTTAATCAATCATTGACATATTGTTTGATTTCACCAAAAAGGATGTTCACTCAAAGGTGTGAATTATTTCTGCGATGCAATAAAAAATATTTGTTTATTAACAAAATGCAAGGTTAAAGGGATAGTGCACCCAAAATAAGATAATATGCGATAATTTAAAGATAATTTGCACTATGGTCTTTTAGCAAAGGACAGCCCAACATGTCTGAAGACTCTGAAATTGAGGAGGAACAGCATTTCTTTGTTGAGCCGTATTTGTTTGAGCCCCAGTATACGGACGCGGAACTCAGGCTACTGGACGAAGCAGCCGCCGCAGCTCATGAGCCTGACCCTCAGCCAGCCTCAGAATACCTGAGTCGAGCACTGGAAACCTGGTGGTGTAGTTGTTTCAAATGCAAAGCAATGCCAACAGGTGAGGAAAGTCTTTGCTGCTCAGACTGGGAATTGGCGATGCCTGCACTTGAGAATCTGGACATCAGTACTGACGAGACTGCTGCTCTTCAGAGATCACCGATCACCCTGAGCGTGCACACGTGAACACGGAGCACAGAGAAGCAGTCAGAGCTACAGGCTACAGTGAGGCTAAAAACAGAGTTCAAATGACTTTTTCGAAACAACTTTTTATGCCGCGGCTGCAGCACACTTGGATCACTATGGATGAGCAGTATGGAGGTACTCTGTGGATTCAATTTTGTGTTCTTGGACGTTAGTCTGGGGCGCCGTCTGCCATTAGGTGTGCTGGCCACTCCCCCCGCTGATCTCCGCAAGGGATGTGAGGACTGTAAAACTTCACCAGGGTCTCCGTTGGCATATAGGTGAGTAGATAATGGCTTTGCTATGGAATTTTTATTTTTTGGTGCACTATACCTTTAAGTGTTGCCATTTCTAGCAAGTCCTAGTTTCCTATTTCTTTTTTTTTTTTTTTGAGTCACTCTAATGCGCCACCTGACCTGGCATCTCGGGAACCTTTAATGAAAGACAGGTGTGCTGAAGTGAGTGTGGAGTGTGGAAAATGCCACAGGGTCTTTAACTGCTGCGTATCTGGTTAATCTTAGATTTATTGTTTGATGAAGTCGTTTAATGCCCCATTGACTTGACTTGAACTTTGGTTTTGTAAAGGCCTGTTTATTTGGGGAATGTTTGTTTGAGGATTTTTGTTTTCATTTTTGAATGTGACAGTCAAGACAATCAATTCATAGCGTCATTCTGCAACTCTCCAAACATCCTGCAAATCAATCAACTCTTAAACCAGTCGAAGCACCTGGATCATCAAACAGTGAGTAAAACTAAACCAAAGACAGTGAGTTTATTATGTCTCCTGTTACGGCGTCTGTGGGCGGCTATTTTTGAACATATTTGGATGCTGCAATATTAAGTGATTCAGGTATGTTTTAGCACCTTTTTTTTTTTTAACTTAATTTTTATTTCAGTTTCACATATAATCATACATACAGAGTCATATTCATCATATCTGCTGTTTTCTCAAAACAAACTTTCAATATAAAGTAGTACTAACATAATGACAATTGGGACACAACAAAAGCACCCACGACTGTAATAGCAGAAAACATTGAAAGATAATTGAATAAATAAAAATAAATAAAATGGGGACAAAAAAAATAAATAAAAAAAAGAAGAAAATGATAATAATAAATAAATTGAATAAATAAATAGAAAGTATCAGATTAATGACATAGATTCAATTTGGAATGTATACAGGCATTCCTCATTATCATAGTATGCCCATGACAGGGCTCCATCTTTTAGTAAATATGTCTTTTTTGAAGTCTTAGGGAGTAAGTTATTTTTTCCATCTGATGTATTTCCTTTATTGTTTTAGCACCATTTTAAGAGTTCGAAGCATATTTTGATGACTATCAGGGCAAAGTTATTTTGGCCAGGATTATGAAAACATGAATTTTTCTTATCATCCCGTGCCCACTTGTGAGATGCAGAGATGAGAGGTTATCTATGAGTAAAGTTGCTAAGATACTGCACAGATACAGTGGACACTTCTAAAAACTATATTTAGCTGTGGGAGTTCTTGTGTTTTCTCAGCAGGCCAGGGAAGGCAACATGTCTCATTCTGACTAAATTAGACTACGTTTCCATTTCTGTTCTCTTGGTTTATTTTGGTGAAGGCTGTTGGCAGCTTCAGATTTATTCTGTTTAGATATTTCTGAGCGACTGAGATGACTCAAAAGCCGTTTGAAGGGAATTGTTCTGCAATTAGAAGCAAAAAGGAAATGTAAAAGGATGTAACATAAAAGATGTTACAGAACGGAGAAGAAGAAAGGGCTAGAGGAGAGGAGAGCATGAGAGAGAAAAAAATGAGAAATAAATGTGTGGGTGGGAGACAATAGAAGAGGGGGATCAAAGATAAGAATAAAAAAGGAAAAAGGCAAACAGGAGGAAGGGAAAAAGGGAGAGATAAGAGGGGTAAAGAGGACAATTGTGCCTGCTCTCTTGTTGGTGTGTGTTCCCTCTGTTTTGGCAGGGCCTAAAGTTGTGTGTCAGAGCCTCAGGGAAGTAATACACAATGGCGCGCACACACACACAAACACACTGCAGGCTTGGTGGAAATGTGTGTGTGTGCCCAGCTCTGCAGCACTGTAGGCTGAGCTGCCAGGAGTGTGAGAGTCCAGTGCTGTGCCCCTGTTTATAACCTGTCAGACAGACACTAATCCACACCAACAGCTCCCAGGTGACCAATGGGCTCACTGCCCGAGCAAGTGACAAGCCGCTAGGCACGCTGAACCCCACTGACCTACACACACACACACACACACACACTACAACCGCAAACTGCTCTGCTTATGCGCACCAGCGTGTGTTGGTGTGGAGTGTAACAGGGAAGAAAACTGCTGGGCAGTACAGTCTCTACCTTGGCTGGAGTACAGTGCACAACGCAGCCAAATCAATACTTCAATCAGTGTGTGGTGAACAGAGGTGGTGGTGGTGGTGGAGGCAGGGGTGGAGTGGATATAAAAAGAAGGCAGAAAGGTTGAATTGGAGAGAAGAAAGTGAGAGACTTCGTTGTAGTGATTTGATGTAAAGCAGAGCACAGTGAGCCACGTACCTGCTGGCATAGTGTTCAATCCTGCTGTGCGTGTCTGCGTGGGGCAGCTTAGGTGAGGAGCACGGCCTGGAAACAACAGAAGCCAATGTCAATACCTCACCAAGGCATTACTAACACACTCCGAGTGTGAATGAGCAGTTGCTGAAAAAAACAAACAAAAAAAAACTTAATTCACACATATTCCTATAATCCTGAAGAAGAGAGTTTTGTTTGGAAAACTTTCTTGTTTGGATCCAAACAAGAAGAAACAGATTTGTTTCACAGTGAAGAAAAGTAAATTTATTCAAGTGCCCAACTTAAACACAACTTAGAGTGTTTCCACTCTAACGCTACTTTACACCCTTACTTTGCATATCAAGATTTTACACACAAACACATGACGATGTTAAATTATGATGCACTTCATTTGATTTAACTGTTGGTTCTTGACATTTCTGGCTCGTTATGCTTTGAAGTCAAGCAACACCTTCTGATGAGTCTTTATCACAGTTTGCATATGTGTATGAGCTCTGAGTGGTTCAGGATCTGGAGTGAGGAGATCTGACAGGAGCGAATTTACTGATTTGGAGGCTCCAGGCAAACCCTGTCTTGCTTTATTTTCACCCTTTCTCTGATTGGAAAAGTACTCAAAACCTTTATTTCTTTAGTAAAACTATTAATAGTGCGCAGCAAGTTAAAGTCAAAGTCATGCATTCAATTTTTAAGGATTGGCAAAGAAGTATTATTAGCACAATGTACTTAGGACCTAGAGTTGTTTTGCTTTGGTCTGAATCAGGGACTAATTTTGTTCCACGGTTGCATAATTGCTTAGAGTTGGTTCATGTTCTCACGGCAGCATTTACAAGCAGACAAGATAAAATGCCTTGTGTGAGAAAGCTGCTCTTGATTGGTCAGAATTTTCATGTGGAAAAATCCAGGAAGTAAACAAAATGTTGAAGAATAGTACACTTGCAAGATAAATGTGACACTTTCTAATGTCACAATGGAGGGACAACTACGCAGGTTGATTTTAGCGCTGGTCATTGTGGACTATATTGCTGTCATTGTTCATTTTAGTCAAACCATACAGTTTGAAAATGAGGCGCGGCTCCAACGAGAAAACAATGTTTTGATGCACTGGATGTGCTGAATGTGCATATTAAGGCAGTACAGGAGGAGGTGCACATTAATAATCCTCCAGGACTGTAACATGCTCATGTTTAACCCAAACAATGTGTCATGTGACTGCAGTTGGTTCGGATCGGGGTCGGAACACGTTCTCATCACAAATGAACCACACCAGAGTTCGTTTGTAACCGGATCGAGACCACCTCTTCAAGAAGGTCTCGGTCCAGTTGTTTTGGTGTGCACCCAAGTGTGATTGCTGTGTTCACACCTGCTCAAACGAACCACACTTAGGGGGCAAACAAACTTGAGTTCGATTGAACCAAACCAAACAGTGCAGGTGTAAAAGCAGCCTTAAAGTGTGTTCAAGGTGGAGGCTTGTATTCTTATACAATGCTGGATTGTTTGATGAATAACAATGCATCATATTTTAATTGTTATATTTGTGAGTGAGGGCACTGTCACACAAGTTCATGCAGGTGAGTGGCTATTGCCTGCCCAGGCGATATTTCTGCTGAGTGTGCGCAGTGCAATAAATACTATGAAATATGATGTTATGGGTACATTTTTCATTTACTGGGTTCCATGCCTGTCTCTCTACTTGCTGCCAGCCAGGCAGCATCTCTCATGTGGGTCAGTTTGTATTTTTTATGGCCATTATCATACAATCAGTGCCACAGTGATGATGGCTTTGTAGCTGAAAGAGGTCACTTTCTGTTCATTTTGCCCACATTAAATAAGTTAATTTATCTGTGAATGCCGGTGTTTCTGCTTATTTTTGGATCCTCACCACAACCATGCACCTCTATATATTGTTCAAGATTTTTTTCAGTTGTGCATGCTGCTATTTTTCAACATTTTTTACAATATCAAACAGTATTGGCTGGTTAAAAACAGCAACAATCAATGTCTCCACATGAAGGCTAGCCTGCTTCTTTGCTACTGGTTGAGGCTGTGACTCCACTGGTCAAAGTTCATCACTGTTGAACTCCATGGGATGCAAAGATGCAAATATGATATGCCAATAGATGTGAATGTTTTATTTGACATGGGGTGGGAAGTGAACGGAAGGCTAAAATTCATCAGTGTTAATTTTGTGCATGTGTGAAAAATACCCTAAAAATTTGAACCTGCAACAAATTACCAGTAGTAGTCAGGTAGTATACAGTTTTGTTTTTTGTTTGCGTTGGGGACCTTTTGCAAATCATTTCAGGTCACAATAAGTTAGAATATTAACATAAGAAGAAAAAAAATCTTAGCTGGCAGCCCCAGGCAGGTGTCTACCTTGCCTAATGGTAAAGTCTGCCCCTGGATCTGGAGCATCCAGTTATATATTCAAGAGCTTTTTAATAAGGCAGATCATAAGATGACGATTCACATCAACAGTCTTGACTATGTGGACAAATGTGCAGAGGAAAGCTACTGGATTTATACATTTAATACAACTTTACCCTGGGGGAAATCAAAAAAGGAGTCTTGTTAACATTGATGGTTTCTATGATGTTTTAATGATATATATTTACATAGGGTGCGGCAATATTGCCTTGGCTAGATGCAAGCAACGGCAAAACCCCGAGAGACAGCGATCAGCTCAGCACAGGCAATTTAAATGTCTTCACTTCCAAAGATTCCTCTCACTCTGAATCTTAATGTTGCAACGTTAGGCACTGCACCATGTCAAAAATCTCTTACTATAACTGTGTGCTCCAGATCTCCTTACACCAGATCCTGTCTCAGTTGTCCTGTACTGGTTTGAGCTCCGAGTTTGCTGATGTGCGGAGATCCCTTCATCCTTATTCTATTTGTAGTTCATCCAAAGAGTGATGTTCTCTTTTTAGTGCGTTTCATCAGTTTTGAGTCATGTAGAGGTAAAACTATCCAACGTTTCACATTTCAGGAGCAAGCATGGATTTGAGAAACATTTTGTGTCGCAGAAGTTTCTTCTTCTCTATCTTGTTAATAACACTGAAGCCTTTCAGATTGATCTTAAAGCTCCCTAGGCTGGAAGCCACCGCAGTAAACTACCCCACAAGGTGTATGTAAAATTTTTAATCAACCTGCTACAACATTAAAATGCTGCTTATACATTGATGCATCAGTAATAATTATACATGGGCAGTAAATATAATAAAACATAATATATTAATATGAGGGATCATTCTGCAGAATAAGTGCTTTTACTTTTGATAAACATGTCTATGTGGCCTCCACCACTGGAGTCTCATCTCCAGCTCGTGTAATGTTTGAGGTCATAAAAGGTGACCCTAACAGTGACACAATCAGCCGAAACATGAACCCACAATCATGCTAAATCTTCCCGGGTACTGTCGTAGCCCTGAGCGATGCTTCTTGATGATCTCATGGATTTTTGTCTCATCGCTCTTATTTTTCCCTTTGGGTGAGACTCGCTCATGTGAACAGAGCATCTGAGCCAGACTGAGATCACAGGAATAACATTATGTTAATTCTGAACACAGAGATGTCCCTTTAACCCAAACTCAGCAAGTGAGAGCGGCCAAAAAATATCAGAGCGCGATAATTAGCCCGCAACAGCAGGAGTTTGAATGGGCGAAAGTGATAGATGACAGAAAAACAGAGACAAAAGAGAGACGTCTGTGTTTGTGTGTGGGACTCACGTCTCAGATCTCTCGGCTTCCAGCACAGATTGCACCGGCAGGTAACCTCTCTGCGGGTGCTTGGTGAAGTACTGCTTCGACCTGAACTTATTCTTCAGAGTCTTGGCAAAGTCCCTCATCTTCTCCCCCGAGGTTGTCTGGAGTTGTGATTTAGGAGGCGATGAGGTTGGTGGGGTGGAGAAGGGGTGAGAGGTGGCAGTGGTGGAAAAGGTTGGAGACAAATTACATCGCTTAAGAATTCGTGAAAATGTTGCTTTCTAGAAAATGACCTCATATGAAATTTGTTCACTCTGTCTGGGCACTGATTTGTCTTGACTTCAGATGACTAAGTTATTCCTCCATCTGATTTCTTATTCAGTTTCTGCTGCTCTGTCTGCTTCCTCTCTTCATTATCCATCTCTGGCTCTCTTGTTTCCAGCACTCTCTCTATCATAGTAGAAATCTATGGGCGCCTGCCTGCCTCACAGGTGTGAAAAACTGTAGCTGGCTAATATAAAATATTGTCCAGTAAAGAAAAAAATCATTGTACAGATGGCCTTTTGCCACGTTTTACAGTTCAGAATTGATTAGAGATTAAATCTGGCACCATCTCAGTCCACTCCAGCACTCCGGCTACAGCTACTCCTTAGGAATTAACTCCACTATGGAGCCTGTACATGCAATCGCTTAAGACTCTGGTTTTATTGGGGTTTAGTGCACAGTGTGTGCTCCAAATAGCACTTTATGCGTGCCCTTTGTGAGCCAAAAAGGATGTTACTGTTGAGTGGTACTCAATCTCTGCATACTATGGATTTGGACGAAGCGGTGTAAGCATACCTAACGGTATACACTTAGAGATGATAGAGGTCTTACGGTGGAGAGGGGGCTAATCTATGTCTGGCAGCAGGAATCAGGAGACTGTAGTATTTTTTTGAGCACAGCTGAGTTTCATTTGTCCCTAGAGCCTTGAATTTGTATTCCGTTAAAGCACAAGATAATGTTTGTCTTACTGGTGTGTAGTACTCCATGATGGGGTAGTGCAGCTTCTTTCCCTTGGTAGTGCGGCCGGTTAGAAAACATGTCTGGCAGATGTCCACATTGAACTGCTTCAGACTGCGATACCTGTCAAGATCAATATAACAGCGAGGCTGAACTGATGCAAGAGAACTAAGCAGAGTAGAGCCGTGTGTGTGTGTCTGTGTGTGTGTGTGTGTGTGTGTGTGTGTGTGTAGACTAAAGGGTTGGCGCATGTCTGTGTCTCTTATTTATAAGCTTCCACAGATCCTTGTGCTCCAAACTGGGGTGAATGCAAACACTGTGGCCTGTTAAATTAGTAACTGTATCCAATAACAAATGATGTATTATGATCACTTTCAGCCATGTGCTTTATGATAATGTTTAAACACAGAAAAAGGAATGTGAATTTAATATTTTAATACAATATCCATTGGACATACAGACAAATAATATATGTGCAAGATTTTATGATAATAAAACATACAGTCTGTACAATATTCATTTTTTTCAAGGCAAGTTTTCTGTCAGGGATCAAACATGATGCTTGAAGTTTGCCTCAATAAATTCACATTACTGTGCAGCTGCTCAACTTATTATTATCATACATTATATCTAACTTTCAGCATCTCCAACAAGCTTTTATCTTTTATATACATATATATAATGAAAACACCAGCTGCCACAATTAAAACAGATTTTGTTGCTTCTCAATTTTGACTTTCTAAATGTCTCCACAAGTAATATTCTTACTCCTCTAATTATTAAAGCTGCTGCTGGTAACTTTTGTTAAAATTACTTTTTGTCATATTTGCTGTCACTGTATCCACACAGCAGGGCGTGAGACAGATAATCTGTGAATCTGTGCCTCTGTAATGCTTCTACTGGCCTTACTGCACATGAATGTGAACAGCCAATCAGAGCAAAGGAATCTCTAATGCAGCTGTCAATCATGTCAATCACTGCTTGTGAACTGCAGTCAAACTGTCAGACTAGGCAGCACTGATCAAATATGAATCAAGATTCTTTTGACCGTTTACTTCACCCTATAGTCACTGAAGTGAATACTGGATCCACTTTTCACAAGCACCAACCCCTCTAAACACTCTGACACTGAGATAGCAATATTTCAGACAAACAAATCAGGAGAAAATTAACTTTGTTCGAGACATTTCTCTGTTTTAGCGACATACTGTCGTGAGATCTGGCAACAACTGATGTGATCTTACACCCTGTTGATAAGAGACATTAAGCCAGCAGATAAAAACAAGCGGCAAAATAAAGAGCAAACATTAAATTTTAACATATAAAGTTGAAAAGCTGTATTGTATTGAATCTGATTTCATCCATCCAAATGACATTTACCACACTTCCAGGTGGGCGTATGTGGGGGAGAGACATTCACACCCACATATGAGACTGGAAATGTTTCATACCCTTGGCGCAGCTTGTAATAAGGTATCTTCTGTTATAGAGTATCTTCGGCAAGGCTTAAAGCGAGCCAATCTAAACGCTAATGGTGTCATTATATTACATTGTACAATATTTCAAAATTAAAAAAAAAAGTTTTAAAAAATTGTCAATTTATGTCATGTTAGAGGCTTTTATTTAAATTTCGCCTCTGCACAAGCATAATTTAAGAGACATCAATATGTGCTGCTCGCACACCTAATTTGACAAATGTACCAATTACTGTTCTGTCACTGACTTCTGCCTCTAATTTTTTTCAGCAGAAAAACACGGCAGCTTTTCAGAAAGTTTTTTTTAGTCCTGCAAAATGATCCACGGAAATAAGTTTCTGAATATATATCTGAAGATAGAAGTAGTCCATACAGTTGGAGAGTGTGATTGCATTTCACATTTGCAGTGCTAAGTTAAAATGGTTGTACACAGAGGTCTGATAATTTGAAGAGTTGGTGAATTATCAAGCAAACTGAAGGTGAAAACTGAGCTTACAAACAATACGCTGGATTTGCACTACTTGTTTCCACCTACAAACTCAGCCACCTCACTTTTGTAATTTTCTAGCCAAGTAGTCAGGGATGATAACCACTTTTGTCCATAGTGAAATATCTCAACAACTACTGGATGGATTGCTGTGATTTTATTTGTCCAAAACTTTGGTACACTACCAAAATACCTGCAAAACAAATGCTATTCCCATCAAACTCATCTGTACATGTTTTTAGTGCTTATTAACATGCCAACGCATTAAACTAATCAATCACTTCCTTTTCTATAAATACTTGTCTATTGTCACGTTACACTTGCACATTAAACACACTCTCATAACTGCTAAATCCAGACAATTTTAATCTACCTAATGTGTGTTTTCAGGTTGTGTATGTGCATATTTTCCCCTTTAACAGCATTCTCACTTATACAGCTTGATCTTTTCTTTTTTATGTGATGTTGCAATAGCTCACTGTGATCACAAGAGTAATTTTATATCGTGTTATGTTAGGTGAGAGTTATATGTCTTGCCTACCTGAAGCCCTTGATGGGACACTGTTTGCAGACGTAACATTTGGCCTGGTGCTTGGTCGACTCTGCAGCAGCCACACGGTGGAGGACAGGCAGCCAAACCATCGACTGGGGCTCCAGGCTCATCCACTCCAGGAAGTGAGAAACCTCAATGGCAGGTTTCCCTGGGGCCTTCAAAAAGGAAGGTGGGAGGACAGAAAAAAGCAGTGCAGGAGACTGTAAACAATCCAAATATAGACCAACAGCAGGGCAGGTACATGAAGTAATGAGAGGAGAAAGTGTGCTTCCTCTCCAAAGGTGGTCCAGCAGTGAGCAACGGGGAATCAAAGAGAATACAAAAGATAAAAAGGGGAATGAGAGGGTGAAAGATGTTCTTCACTGTGGGGTTTTTTTTTTTTTGCTTTTATGCAACTGCTTAAACAATCATAAGGATAAAACATAGCAGACATAACTTCTGTGTCTGTGTGTAAGCTGTATGTTTGTGTTTATGTGTCTGCATGCGCGCCGTCTCTCCCGCAGACACCTTGTTGAGAATTCCAGAAAGTGGGATAAAAAGGAAGTCAACCTAATAAAAGAATGACTCGCCAAGCGCTGAAAATCCGTGATGTGCTAAATTCTCATTAAGTCTGCATCAGAGATGCATTAAGAGGTTGATTTCCCTGGGGCTTCCTCCACCGCTCAAGCAGAGTAGCATAATAAATGTGTGTGTGTGTATGTGTGTGTGCGTACTGATCACACAGACTGAGGTGTACAGAGGTACTGAGTCTCCCGGGGATGAAGGAGCTCCTCTCTGGTAGTAAAGTAGCCAGTTCCATGTGGGAGGTCAAATAGCAGCTCCTCGCGTACCGAACACCTGGAACTGACTATGCTGAGCACGCCGCCACATCTCAAGGCAGCACGCTGAACAGATGGGATGCTTTAAACATCAATGGAAAAGTAGAGTGATAAACATTTAGTTATCCATCGAAACTCTGCTTTCTGCACCATATATCCACTAAACTGTGTTTGTGTATCAAGAATAAATGTGCACTTTTCTCAAAATATAACAATATTTACTACATGTTAAGTTATTCCTGCTGTAAACCAATGCTTCTGCATGTTCAGTCATATTGTTCTGTATAACCGTCTTACTCTGCGTATTCCCTGTCCCAAGTCGATCCATCTGCTTCCCTGCCAGCAAAGTCAAAAGCTACGTTCACATTACAAGCAAATGTGGCTCAAATCCAATTCTTTTGCTCTCCTGTGACACAGATCTGAATTTTTCATAGTGTGGACACAGAAATCAGACTTTTTCCAATCAGATCTGGCCACGTTCATATGCGGTCCTAAATCCAGTACCTATCCAAACACTGGCCATGCAACCATTGTGAGAATATCCTATCAGATTTAACCTATACATCCATGGTTTTTCCATGTCATACTTCACTGTGCAAACACATAACACTCATACAGAGTCAGAGCTGTTTGTTGAAACTACCAAAGGCTGCAGTAGTGGTAGCACCGCTGTGGTAGGCTGTCCAAGTCAACAACTAATAGAGTCCAACTGCCAGACGCTTTCTGATGGAGACAACTTGCCTACATACCACGACACTGTTTTTGTGAGGCGCCAACAGAGATAGCCCTATCAGAATGTGGCCCTTGATATCCTAGAGTTTGAGAAACTCCTCCTCCATGAAACCTGCAACATTGTGGCCCCACCACTCTTGACTCCTGACTACTAGCAATAGCTGTTAATAGAGCTAAGGCTGTTGCCTTCCTTTGTCATCTTACCCTCATGCCATTGTTCTGATGGCTCATAATCCTGTAGCCTCAGTATTTCGAAAAATGTCCCATTGGACCTGTTCAATCCCTAGCTCATCTGGTCCACATGTCCTTGAAGTATCCTTGGACAAGATACTGAACCCCGAAATTACTCCCAATGGCTGCTCTATTGGTGCATGAGTGCGTGTGAATAGGTTACTGAGTAGCAGGTGGCACCATGTATGCTAGCCTCGGCCACCAGTGTGTGACTGTGTGTGTGAATGTGACATGTAGTGTCACTTTGAGTGGCCAGAGGACCAGAAAAGCACTGTACAAGTGCAGTCCATGCTCTGCAAATAGCACCCTCTCCCAAATGAAAGCACATGGCTAATTACTACACACAATGATGAAGATCTGATGACTTCATTCTGCATAAAAATATGATATGAAATACGACAGATTTTCATCTGACTTCTGCAGCAAATCATTCAGAAGATGAACATTAGCACATCATACCTGTGTCTCTCAGATGTGACATTTTTGTTGTTCTAATGTGAATGTATGTGACATTATTGGTTGCATGTGAGCCGTTTTAGGGCAGAGACATTCAAACTGATGTCACACATGGGTCACTATAAAGATGAATGCAAACAGGCAAAAAGACTGAATCTGGGGGAATAATCAGAATTGAGCATTAAGCCTTGAGATGTGTTTCTCTAGAAACTGATGTCACTCATTTGCAAACCAAAGTGATAAATGGGCGAACGGGTCACCCCCCAATTGGCATTACATGGATATTTCATCTGCAACTAAATGTCCTAACATGGAGCAAATGGAGAAAGGAATTGATTTTAATCAGCCGTAGCTGATACAGAAAGCATGGACCAGAATAGACTGTGTATAATTAAGATCTGCCTCTGAAAATGAGGGAATTAAAAGGCTTTGCATAGGCCACCTTCCAAAAAAAGCTGTGGCCTGCTCCTAACAACTAATTATCTGGTGTCCCAAACTGAATGTCACAAGGTAAACTTCCTGCAACCTGAGTCCAACATACAACTTGAAGACACATTCAGAACAAGCAAAGGAGAGAAAGACAAAGTAATTCATGCTTTGAACATGTCTCGTCATTAGCTCTTGCTCTGCGCTGCTGGACTCTGTGACCTCGCTCCATCATATCAATATTCCAATAGATCATATTCTACAAGCAACTTTCTAATTTAAACTTCTTGGACATCACTTACAGTCCATGTATGGCTAAAAACATCATGCATTATCTACCACTGACTGTACTTCATGTGCATTAAAAGCAATGCAGTGCAATATTAATGCGATGTAATGTTTGTGAGGCAACACTCTGAATATGGGTGGTGCAGTTGGGACTTCTTTAGGTAAAATAATTATAACTTCTCCATTTCCTCGTAAGTAAACTCAGATTGTGCTGATGTCAGTGACACACAATGGGCTTCACACAGCTGACATCATAATTCTTTCATACATGGTTTCTGATGGAAGTCATGTAAAGGCAAATGTTTGATTTTGCCATTCATTTTTAATTTTTCTTTAAACTTCAGTTTCTGTATTTATAGCTCTGTCTTGAACAAGTTCTGTTCTTATTATCTGGAGGTCACTCATCATTCTCCTTTACAGTAATTCATAGATTAGAGCGTACACTCGTATACTGAGAAGATTTGAGATACATCCCTATACTGCAACGGCATTAATAAGTGGGTTTTGAAGGTTGACTTCCATTTTTTTGTTTGGGCACTCAAGCCATTAATTTAAGTGCTGAGGCTAGCACAATCGAGTCATACAATACTCTCAAGTGACGGGAAAAGTACTCAAATCTTTTACTTCGGTAATAACAATACTACAGTGTAGACATACTGTTACAAGTAAAACATGAAATTACTCAAGTAAAAGTACAAAAGTACTAGTATCAAAATATACTTAAGAGTACGAAAAGTAAAAGTACGCATTATGCAGAATAACACATTTCAGAAAAAAATTATATTGCTGGGTTATAATTATTGATGCATTAAAGTGTTCATCACTTTATTGTTGCAGCTGGTAGAGATGGAGCTAATTTGGACTACCTTTTTAACAGCTCTGTTGCTGGACGTTAACCTACAATGATATACCATCTGATTTACAGTTTGTATTAATAATATGAATCTTCAAAGTAAGTAAGGCTATCAAAAAATATGGTGGTGTAAAAAGTACAATATTTCTTGCTGATATGTTGTGGCATAAAAGTATAAAGGCACAGAAAATGGAAATACTTAAGTATAGAACACGTACCTTCGTACATTTCAATTAGGTAAATGTACTGAGTTACATCAAGAGATGGGGGGCTCTAGTCACATGACTTGACTTGAGTCAAACATTTGAGGACTTGTGACTTCATGAAATACTTGATTTGACTTTGAATTGGTATTGGTGAATTGAGACTTGACTTAGACTTGAAATTAATTGGCTTTTGGTAGAAATATTACAATATTTCTAAAAGTTAGACAGAGCAGTTGCGTGTGTTTTTTTAAAAACATGATTGGGTGATTTCTAGTGCAGTGTGCGAAAACCTGGCAACCTACCAAAACGCAGCACACTTGCAAAGGCCAACAATGCATGACGCAGCTTGTCCAAAAATAATAAAATTGGGATTCAAGGATTGTGTGTCAATGACAATAGTGAGAACAGAACAGTGGTATGCAAGGTCCGCAGCTCAAAAATCTGTGACGTGGTCACTATAACATCCAATTTCATCCGTCACTGCAAAACCTGCAATGAAAAGCTGATTGAGTGTGTCTTTAGCTTACTGGCTGAACAAAAGTTAGCTAGAAAGCTAATGTTTGACAAGATCATCAGCATTTCATAAGAAATGACTTATGACTTGCTTTACCTGAGCAGTTACTTGACTTGTCTTGCTTGATTCTCACCACAGTAACTTGGGACTTGCTTGAGACTTGAAGACCTGCACATGTGTGACTTACTTCCATGTCTGGTTACATCCACCACTGTCAGTCTTTCACTTGCACCGAACAGGGTTATCACACATTTTCATGAGCAAAATTTTCAATTTTTTTCATGACTATTCAAGGATCCACAACAAAGATTTTTCTTTTCTTGCCCCACGTGCCCAGCGTTTTTCAAGCAAATCAGATTTCAGCTTGCTGACATACAGGAAGGGAGAGACAAACCCAGGTCGAAAACGAAGAAACTTAGTCAAAGGTTAGCAAAAGGTTGTCACACATCGGCTTGTAAGAGCTATGTTACGTTGTTACATTACAGATGATTTCATCTGCTCTTATTGTTCATAGTGTGTGAATGCATGAGGTGCCCTTTCTGTAATACATGTAAGTAATTGTCCTTACCACACGGAAGCAGCTGCGGACGCTGGGCTCCACGTTGCTTCCCCCAAAAGCAGCAACTTCACCCAACTGGCGGGGGATCTGAATGGCTTCGTGGAGCAGCAGGCTGAGGTGACGCTGGTCTGTCAAACCTCCAGGACCAGACACCTGACGGAATAAATCTGCAACCACCAGAAAATACATACAGTAATGTATCAATTATTCAGTATCTAATCTGATTATACACCCGAGTGTAACAGCAGTAATTGCGCGCTGCATTTATATGCATGAACAAGATTATTTGTATTATCATCACATCTACATACATTTCTCCTACACGTCTACATCTGCTAATTTAGAGCATTTGTATTTATTGCTACATGTTCTCAGCTTTGGAAAATGTAAATCAGGATTTTAATTACAAAGACAGGCATTCACAATTTAAAAAGTGTGGCACTCTGAAAAATAAAGGCAAAACTTTAGTGAGACTTTAAAAACTGTTTGCTGTGTTTGTCAATCAAACGTCCACACATCAGTTTTTCATCTATTTCTTAACAATGAGCCTCCAATCCAAGACATCAGGGTTTACCAAACCTAGTTATGTGGAATAAAACTCACTCCAGTGACATATAGACAGAGACAGAATCAGTATTAGTGGCCTGGCTGGTCTGCTCAGATGAAAGAACTGCATAAGTGGAGTCTTGTCAGGTTTTGAATGAGGCCTTTAGCAAGCTAGCTGGGACTTTCTGCCTGTCACTGAAGAGATGAATGCTGACAGGCGTGTGATGCCGCTGCACAATGCCAGTATAAGCATCCCGTGTACCCCCCCCCCCCCCCGTGTACTTATTCAACCCTACAGGGGACAACACTTGGCTTTAACACCTGCATGTTAAACAGCCTTCTCCATATAGTCCTCATAACCAGAGCTGAGGCGTGTTTGACATTTTAAATGTTCACGTTGAGCTGTTTGATAGAGATGTGTTTTGGGAATGTTTTATGGAGGTATTTCCACCATATAAAGGCCTGTTACATCTGAAACATGCAGCCTGTGATGTAGCAAACCCTGCAGTGACAGACATAATGGTATTCCTGGAGTTGGCTGAAGAAACCTCAATCTATATAAACACTCATTATTAAGTTTGTTTGTGAAGTCTTTAATATATTTTCAGTTTTTACTAGTATGAAACTCTCTTTACTAAATTGGGGTTGCACCATAGACTGTATGAGCATAATAGATGTAGCCAACATGCTGTCACCCACTGGTTTGTGGACTCATTTCAGCTGTCGCCATTCTGAATTTTTGGAGCCAGAAGTAACTAAATTTGAATGAGAGGGTGAAGCTGTGGAGGAGTGAGGGGTGGATCTGACTGGAAGACTAGGGTGACACCTCACAGACAGCCTGTCATTTAAAGTGGATGTGCCCTTAATTATGCATAACTTTAATAGTGTAGATGGTGACCTTGTTTCAACTGTTGTTATCCTGACGTGACTTTAGCCAAAGGGCCTACGTGACTTTAGTCATGGTTTGGTGGAGTTCTGGCTAATTGGGAAAATAACCTGTTGTCTGAGCCGGGTGTCTGAAATTGAATGGCAGGAAATAACAATTGGAAAGTACCTGCAGTACCTACAGTTTTTGAATTTTGAATGGCAGGAACTAACAATTGGAAAGTACCTACAGTACCTACAGTGCTCATGTATCACAATGTTTGTCTGTCTCACACTATAAATTGTCATGATGTACCAAGTCTTGGGCTGTTCTCTTGAGATTAAATGACCCTCAAATGTGCAACTCTGTCTCTGAGCCTCTCTTATTTTAAGTCCTGTTTATGCTACAATACTTTTAGCTTTCAAAATATCCGCATCCGCACTAGCTTTATTTTAATTAACTCATTTCTGGGTTTTAGGACTCAGTCCTAGGGTACTCTGTTATTGAACTTGAGACCATATGATCCTGGGAACATTGGCCCTTTTTAAATAGGAATTGTGCAAATTTGCAGGAAAGCCCAATCAGTCTGTTTTCAGCATTGGCAGTATAAAAACAAAACTGGGGAGTGCAGCGAAATGCCGCCTACCTACTTTTGTTCATACAGAATGCACCTTTTTCAGGGCAATGGGGGGCGTGAGCAAGTAACAAAATGTGTAGCTCAGCGTGTGACATAAATGGTGATGTACTCCGAGGGAAGCCGCGGCTGGTCAGTCCTTCGGCAATTTTCTCATAAGTCGGCCCATCCTTCACTGTTCCCGTCATTTGACGGTTAATGGCCTCTTTGTTTGAGAGGGCAAGGAGGGCACACAATTCCTTGTCTCCCCAGTTGCTCATCTTTACTGTAGTGTCTGTCAGGTTTGCGTCTCCCTCTTGCTCCTAGCTGCTCATTCCTGCTATCAGCTGTTTCCTGTTAGTCCACCGCCAGTGGGTCACACATGCGGTGTCATCAATAGCTCCTCCCACAAGTCATCAACAGCCCCTCCTGTGGCGGAGGGGTGCCTCATTCTTTTTAAACCAAAAAGGTTCCGCCAATATGTTTACCCCTATGTGGCCGAAAATTGGGCACCTCTGATCAACTCGCCAGTCTGGCTCGGCGTGTCTAAACGCACGCATAGATACAGTCCCAAATAAATAAACCACAAGTTTATTATGCTAGCAGCTCTATGAGGCTGAACTGTAAGCTAACATGCTCACAATGACAATGCTATCATGGTCATGATCTTAGTTTAATTTGATAGCATGGTAACATTGTCTAATTATCACTACACACAAGAGGTGACGAGCCTGATTAATCATGACAATCCATCCGACAGTTTTTGAGATATATCAATTTGGATGACAGTGGTAGACCAACTACCTCGATACTGCCTTCCTTAGCCACATGGCTAAAAACAGTACAAAAGTGAGGTAAGTGAGTCTATAAGAGGAAACAAACAATGCAAACCTAGCGTACACATTGTAAGCTCACTTTTAACGAAATCATTTCAGCCTGGACGTTAGTTTGCTTAATAATTTACCACCTCTTAGAAATTTTAAAACTTCATGTACAACTATTTCATCTAAGCCCTTGTTATGTAACTCTGAGACTGAAGGCTGATTTTCTTCCCTCAGGAATAATCAGAAACTTATTTTGGTGGATAACTTTGGAGAACTAAAAACCTTTCCAAATAGACAACATGTTTTTCTGATGAGAAAAATTAGAGGCAGAAGCCAGTGACAGAGCAGTAACTGATGCATTTGTCAAATTAGGTGTGAAAGCAACACATACTGATGTTCGCAAAACTGAGCTTGCGCAGAGGCAAATATTAAATAAAAGCCCCTAACCCACCAGCCACCAAACTCTGGAATAAGTTGCCTCTGCATGTTAGACTGGCCCCTTCACTGCCTGTCTGTACATTCTGTCTAAAAAAACATCTTTATTCCTTGACATAAATTCAACATGAGCATTGCCTCATTGCTTTTATTATTTCATTGTCCTATTGTCTTGTGAACATTTCTTTGTGGGTTTATGGTGTTGTTTTATGATTTTTGTTACTTTGGATTGTACTTTGCTTAACTGCTGTTTTTAAATGTGTTTTATAAATAAATTTTGATTGAATGGGTTGAAAAGTGTAGTATCAAAAATTACTGGTACGATAAAGTCGAGTAAATATTCCTCTCTTAAATCTCAAGCCAAAGACTGGTGATGATGGAATAAACACCCACCATCTGTATCCCAACGTGGGTTGATGCAAATGCTTCAGATTTATTTGCAAATATTATTCCATTGACGTCTGGAGTTGGCAAAAAAACAGGATCAGTCAGTGAAATGACAAACTGTTAAGGCCACCACATGTCTACCTGAACCCAGAAAAAGAAGGCTGACTCACCTCAGGGACCATTCAATTGAAAGCAAATCTGTTACCTCTCAGTCTTTAAGAGCTGACACAGATGGTGTGCCAGGCATGAATAATCCTGGCATGGGTTTGGCAGTGTTGTCTCTGATCTTGTATCAACTACAAGCTGTTCCAGGTACAGCTATCATCAGTTCAAATGCCTATATTTACATGATGGCTTGTGAACTGGGGCTGCAACAGAACAGAATCCTCCAATAAAAGGAGGAAGGGAGCGTCTTAGCTTCTTGGATGACTTGTGAAGAAACATTGGAGTGGGAGCAAAATAAATACACTGTGTGTGAATGGTGTCTTTGGCAAGCAATCCTTTTAAGGCCCCCGGTGTACTTTGTGGACGTAAAGAAAGCTTTCTCCATTATAGCAGCTGACTCATTTCCTCCATTAGGCTAAGTGGATGTCTTTATGTAATACGGGCAATCAAGGCCGTTTTGTTTTGGCTCATTGTTTGCAGTTGAGGAGATGCATTAGGCACATGAGTGAGCATCAGACTCACATTTATACTTCTCTTGGACGTCTGCGTTGCACAAGCTCACCAATCCCATCTTGAAGCTCAGAACTCGCATTTTGCCGTTACGAGCGCTAGTGGAAAGGGAGACAAGAAAGAAGTTGTAAGGTTACAATTTTTGAGCGTTGAATGCACTCAGATCACAGTGTATTGTGGTGCAGTAACGTATTCATTCATTGTCTGAGCCCTGCTGGGAGGGACAAAGTGTGGAGGAATTACTTGGGTCAAAGCTGTACAGTACAGGTCAGTGCAACAGTGTGAAATTGTATTAGAGCACATCCAGGGTACCTAAAGGCACTACAGGGATTTGATAAAGTGTTGAGTCCATGGAGCAATAATAAGCTCACAATGTCACTTACACACAAACACATACATGCATACAACATTAACACACAATTACACACACATCCAGCATCAGAGGTGCTGAATATATAGCATAAATGATCACTGGCCAATGGCAAGGCCAGTGAGATGGACACTGCTGTGCCCTGACCTGAGCCTTAATGGGTCATGTAGCTTTTTTTCTGCTTAGGGAAAAATAAACACACTGTCACCGTTTGTGCATAGATTTCACAGCTCTGGTGCCAACACAGCCACGAAGAATTTATTGGCGAGCTGAGCAGCATTGGCAGAAACCACAGGCTTATCGAGTTAACGTTTGAATCGTTAAGTGAGAAATTAAGAATGTCACATTCATCAGAGAGCATCAGATCAATGAAGTATAAAATTGAATCAAAGAGTGAGTTAAATTTCCAGAGCTGGGATGTTGATTTAAATTTGTGTTTAATAACAAAGTAGGGACAGTGAGCCTCATTTACCAATAGCTTCCTACGTTTTTTCTTAAATTCGTCCTTAAGGAAGGTTCTAAGAGAATTCTACATCGGATTCATGGCGTGTTCTTAAGTTGACATACATGACAGTGACACATAGTGCTGTAATAAAGGTCCTATATCAGGTCTAGAGATGCTGCAGAGCTTGTTGTAATTCTTCAGTGATGCAAAAGGACCCTTTCACTTTACACCAGGTCATTTGAGTGACTGGTGGTATCAAAAATATTGGAGCTTTAGGTACATATACGTTACATACACACAGAGATTCACTATGTGTAATCTCATGTCACCATAAAAACAATTTTTTGACTATTCCTCACACTCCTAGGACACTCTGTCTGCAGATTGTAAGTGGTTCAATGGCTTGTTGTACAGCCATCTATAAAGAGCCACAGTGTGGCTTAAGCTACAATAACAATGTCCAGGCAGAGGGCCAATCATCCCTTCTGAGACACAGCAGAAACAAATCCTCTTTCACACCAACTTTCACCCCCATCTCTGCTCCTGATTGACTGTTTTGTGGCGTCTCCGAAGAGAAAACACAGAGCACAGAGGCAGAGATACAGGAATAACCCCACGAGTGCTGTAAATTCGGTGGGTAGCTCTTAACTACTCGCTGCTAATGAGAGACAATCAGAGACTTTATCCTGCGCATAAATTTCAGTAATTGCTTTTTGTTTTCCAATAAATAGCAGCAGTGAATTTGAATAACGTGCGTATGTTTGTGTGCCCAATTTTTAGCTGTGTGTTTGCATTATAGTACATCAAAGGGTGTGCATGTGTGTCTGTGCTCCAGAGGCGTGTCACACTAGCAGGGCATGCAGGAGTGACATGTCCCCTGAGGAGCAGCACTGGGGTACATATTGAAGATGGCATGCGACACACAGCATAAAGTGTGTGTGAAAGGTGCTGACAGCCAGTAGCCCCCATGTGCTCTCAAGCTCTTCTCGACTGACTCCAGCTCTGAATCTAACAGGGAAAAAGACAGTAATGTTCTCCTTATCACTTGTCATGGTTCTCCTTGATACTCTTAACAGCCTGGCCTAAGGAATGATACATTTCCTGATAGTTTGACCTATTGGCAAATTAAATACAACAATGGGCCACACTCAGAAGAAGAAATTTGTCCTAAATCAGAATATTTGTGAAAATTTTGTAAGTGGGGTTTACTTACACAATTTTCACAAATATTCTGATATTCACCTCACCAATGTTTTTCTTATTTGGGATTTGTTCTTAGGTCAGAACAGAACGTATGCACGCTAAAGAGTAAACTTACACAGATTTGAGCACTGGCATACTTGTGCGTTTTTTTCTACAGTTGAAAAATATTATGGGATTTAAAATACCATGATATTTTAATGATTTGTAATATTTTTAACAGTTATGTTGATTATAGGGATGTTAGTTTTGGTTAATTTGGCTTGCAAAAGGCAAACACTCATTAACTGGTAACTAAAAGGGGGGGTTATGGCTCACAATTGAGCTGTTAACACACCAGGGTGACTGGAGGGTGGGCATATTGTTTCCATAGCAATGTTGTTGTGTCGGGACAGTGTTAGTAGGGTTAGATAATCGATAACCGCCAAATACGTGATGCTCCTACCAGACATGGGTGGTGTGCAGTGCAGTAAACTGAAGCGTAGCAACATTACCCTTCAGACAGACACGTGAAACCGGTCAAAAATACTCTCGGCTGGTAATCAATTAACGGTTGACTGTTGACATCCTTAGTTGATAATTTTACAAAAAGCCCTCTGGTCTTTTGAAATAAACATTACACTAACACTTCAAGTCACATCGGTTATGTTACACGGAACTATGCAATCTTGAAAATAGTGAGTGATCATACTAGAAAATATCATACATGGTTTGGGCTGGTGGGTCAAAATAGCACAAAGCAGCTTTCTGATTAATAGCTTACAGAATGACTGCGTAAAATAGTCCACCTTCTCTCCCCTTTTTTATGGTACTGTCATCGTGCTGCTATAATGCATAAAGTTGATGGTTAAAGTACCTCCATTTCAAAACCATTGAAGTTTTTTTACATTTAGCGTCTGGAGCTCCACCCTATTTAGACTTTCATTTAGGCAGTCCTGACTTTAATTCTCTCAACTTTTATTCTTCTTCTTTAATTTCTGTGTACGCACACAATCCTGCAATCTCATGACCTTTTATGTGGATTTGAGAGGTGTTTACTACGCTAATTAGGATCAACTGGCACATGCTTTTAACTTTCGAGGACAATGGGATTCATTAGTGTAAGATCACAATTGTGAACAATTCTGTGGTTTAGTTTGGATTCAACAAAGTCACACAATAATACAAACAAATCACTGATTGAGGCAGCGGTACCCCAGCAGCTCATGTTTAGTGGGGTTAAATTACTGTTTGTGTCACAGGAGTCTGTCTTTGAAGAGAGCATGGATAAGTTTCACTTTCAGTTCAGCTCCCTGTTGGAAAAGGCTGTCTGTTTGGGATGTACTCAGCAACTGGATCAGTGAAACTTGGATAATAGTGCATGAGTTTGTAAATCAATATTTTTTATTTATATTATATATATATTTATATAGTTTTGCTGTTGTTTAACACAGACCCCTATGACTTCAATTCATCAAGAACTTTATCCATTTTTGGAGGCATGCAAGAAAAACAAATGTTCTTCATAAATTCAAAGTAACACGAGGTGAGTACCTGATACACAAATGGTCATTTGGGGGATGAGGTATTCCTTTAAGTGACACTCTCATTTCTAGCTTTCAAAGCCACCAGGAGTTGTGTACTCATTAAGTATAGAATCACACAATGAGAGAAAGAATAGAAATAGGACTCCACCAGAGGAAAGGTCACAGTCCAGATTTACAATGTCAGTCGTATGTGAAGTAACAGAAACTTACAGGTGAATTCCATTCAACTCAGTAGAGTCCATACAAAATCTAAATGTTGATGGTAATATGGACAGGTTGCTTATGTAGAAGGTTATGTACTTTATATAGTGCTGTCTTAACCTTGTTTATATGTGCCTGGCAGTGATACAAAATCTTCTGAACTGTCGCTATAATATAAAACTTTATGAGCATTACATGACAGAGATATTCATGTCTTTTAAAAAAAAGCACTGTTCTGATTTAGTATTGCACTTTTTAACGATGTCGCCTTGATACAGCAGAACCTGAAACATTACTAACTACATTACCCACAGTGCAACTCCACTGCCCACGGTTTAGTTGGAGCTTGCTTGGTGTCTGAGGCAATTTATCCCTCTGGATTTATAAGTCTTCACGCAACTTCTTCCGGCATTGCATTATGATGCAAAAAAGCCTGTAAACAGACTATAATGTGTAAAGTTGGCTAAGCTAACCTTTAAGCCCTCTAGGTAAGTGATAAGTAGTATAATCCTCTTGGATGACGGCTTAAAAATGAGCTGTTATCTCATCATTTTGATTTTTCAGCCTGCACATAAACTGTATTCTCAATGCCTTCTATTCAGTATGAATCAGCAGTGAGCCAAAATACAACACTCAAAGAGAAAGTCAACCATTGCTGGAGGTAAAGACACTTCCCTGTTAAGTTGGTGGAGACAAAGCAAGAGCTCAAAGGCAAAGGGTCCTCACGTTGCTCTGTGTCTGCTGAATGTGTAGACACTAACCTGATTAGCCAGTGATATGTGAAAGTCCTACTGTTTAAAAAATTGCTGAATGCAGCTCACCCACCTGTCGTAGACGTTGAGCAGCCAGTTGAGACACATGTCAACACAAAGTGGAATGTTGACCAGGATGGACCTCTCCTCCTCCAGCCGCTCATACAGAGCGGTTAGGCCATGGATCATCTCCACCACGTCCATCACATGCTCCCCCTGCTGCAGCTCCTGCTCCCGAAACACCTCCACAAGGCTGCTCAGCGCCACCAAATCCACTAAAAGCACACATACACACGTATTAAAGAACACAGATACCTGGAAAACACTCACATTGAGCCTATTTACACCTGGTATTAACATGCGTCTTGGATGATCTGATCACAAGTGGACAGCTCTATGTCTGTTCACTCCTGGCATTGAATGTGACTTGGGTGACCACTTGTTATCAGGTCTCACTTCCCCGCTCTATATGCAAATAAACAAGTACATCATTTCTGTTTGCAAAAGCCAAATGCATTGTTGTTTTCAATCAGCAGGAGGTTTGCCATGCTACACCCACACTTCGGAGCCAATTTATTGGTTTACTTTGAGGGCACAGACTAACAGAGATTGCGTCTGGCTTCAAGGAGAGATGTAGAGGTTCCCCTGATGCGGGGGAGCAAAAGATGGCTCTCGTATCTCCATAACTGCAAATAATTACTTCAGCTGCAAAGGAGGTCGATCCATCATCTTACCAGCTGTTTTGGATCACCTCTCACAGTGAGTAACTCAGACACATACATATACAAATTCCCTCTCTTTCACAAAAGATGTCAGCTGAGTAGGCGGTTCTTTATCGTGGCACCGGGTAAAATGAGCATATACACTGCTGAAAGAGTGTGGCCATGTGTCCAAGACCACCTTCAAATGTGGTCTGAGCGATCAAATCTCAACAACTCTGAGTATGTTAACCCTGAAATGAGGGAAACTCTGGGTTTTCAGTTCCAGAAAGAGAGGTATGTCAAACTCTGAGTCAATCACCATGGCAACTGACTCTGTGAACCTAACCTGCTCACTGGCAGGTTTTCTATAAGAAACCCTGAGTTCACCCTGTCTCCTCGCTAGTGCCGAGCCTGAAGCAAACTGGCAGACAGACATGGGTTGTTCGTATGTAGGAAATCCGATCGATATCAAGGCAGAATTAATTGGCAATGCCTTACGCCGGGAGAGGATCTTCAGACGTTTAGATGTGCTGTCTTTCCCCAATGAATATCTGATTGAACCGTACCGTTTTTCATTAGACTCAATCATTTACCCACCACACATAACAAATCTGACACACCACGGACGTGCACTCTCATCAGAGCAAATGTTGTGCATTGTTTTTTTGTGAATGGTAGCTTTTTATATGATATTGGTGGCCTACAGTACATAATGAAATAGCCACTGAATGACAGGTTATTTAAGCTACTTTGTTTAATAAATCAAATATGACTAAAACTAAAGAAAGGTACAGCCATGGACAAGTCAAATATGATATGATAGTATGATAGTTTTTAAAGGATTCAAATTTCAAATAAGTCGTCAACCATCTATATGTGCTTAAAACAGCTGCTGAAATGAGCAAGGATTCTTTTTTAATACTTTTGGGGGGGCATTTTGCCTTAAATTGACAGGACAGTTAAGCGTGAAAGGGGGAGAGAGACAAAGGGAGTGACATGCAGCAAGGTGCCACAGGCTGGAGTTGAACCCCAGTCACTGTGGCAAAAGTCATATGTATGGGACGCCTGCTCTATCTACTAAGCCACCAACATCCCATCAAAGAGGATTCTGCTTGCTAAATTTCCCATGCTGCCTCTCTCCTTGGCAGCTTAAGCTGTGTTACTTTTTTTTACGAAATATATGCTCATATTCGCTGTAGGACTTCATGAGCACCTCCAATTCCACAGGTGTAAAATAAGTTGATCGCTTTTTCTCTCCCATTGCCATGGTGAATCGAGGTATCGGGGCTCCACTGATGATGGCTTTTTATTGTGGTTGTGCACGCGCTTAACTCAAGGTGTACCTACTCAGAGTTGATTGAACTCATTCAAATCAGCTGTTCTGGAACCGGACACTCAGATTTTCCCATCTCAGGGTAAGTCAACTCAGAGTTCAGGATTAGACTCAGAGTTTGTTGAACCTCCTACCTGGAATACCCTTCTGTACTTAGCTATCCACTTGTGATCTGATCACCAAAGACACCAATTAATACCAGGAGTAAACGTGGCATATGTGACCATGTGCAGCAGTGGAAGAAGTATTCAGATCTTTAACTGAAAGGTATACTATTCAGGATTGTCGGTTACTGTTTGTAAACTCGCTCGCCAGCGAAAGTGAAAATAAAAGCAGACCCCAGATTCACTCTCGTTTGGCAGGTCACCTTGCTATATTAGCCGCAGGGTTTTTGGGTGCTAGGTGCCATCTGGATGCCTGTTGCTTATGGTCTGGCACCTGGTCGCTACCTTTTTATAAAGCCTTGACCTCACCTGAGTGCTGTGGGGGAACACATCCATAGGAAATAAGAAGAAAATAAGAAAATACAGACAGAGGGCAGAGTCTCTGCAGAAAAATACCCCGCCACACAGAGTGGGAGAGTGGGTCATAAGTGATGATTGAGAAGGATTATTTCTCTATGCATCTATACGTTTTTTTTTTTTTAGCAGTACTACAGTGTAGAAATACTCAATTAATAAAACTAAAAAAGCCCTGCATTCAGAGTCTTGAGTGAAAGAACAAAAGTTCAAGCATCAAAATATACTTAAAGTACCAAAAGTAAAGGCACTTATGCAGAACAGCCCATTTCAGAATGATATTTGTCATATAAGTGGATTATTATTATTTATTCATTAATGTGTGCACCATTTAAATATTGCAGCTGGAAAAGGTATACACTGCTGGGTGGCTTAACCTATGATAATATATCATCATTTATTAGTTGTTTTATACTTTGCATTGATAATATAAATCTGCTTAAAGGGAAATTTCGGTTTATTTCAACCCGTCTCCTATCGTCCTAAATTTGTTTCAAGTCACTAGTGACATAGAAATAATAGTTAGCATGTTAGCCGTTAGCCTAGATACAGCTGTAGCGTCAGACCTGTTAAAACGTAATTGAACGGGCATCCTTTCAAGTGCAAAGTTAGTCCACTAAACAAGCTTTTTTTTCCAATGCCATCAGTGCTCTTTACTTAAACAGTAAGAGTGTAAACCAAATAAAAATATCACTCTCAAAAAAACAGAGCCGAAAACAAATAGGCAGTTAACTAAGTTGACCGCTACTCCTCCTACCCTCCATGTGTGTCTGCCATCTGCATGCTGGCCTGGTGGATTGATAGTAAGTGCTGGAGCGGATCACTGGAATGGACTGCTTGAATCGCAGAGCGCTGGGCTGGCCGGAAAACCTGGATCGGACTCTGTGGAAAAACTGGATCGGAGTTCTTGGATCGGTATTTTTCCATGCAGTCCGATCCGATGCTGATGCACGTTTTTTGCTAATATCGGCGGACATCCCTAAAAAATGTACAATATTGCCATCTGATATGTGGTGGAGTAACAGAAAATGGAAATACTCAAGTAAAGTACACGTACCTCAAAACTGTACTTAAGCACTGTACTTGAGTAAATGTACTTAGTTAAATTTCACCACTGACCATGTGTGACACGTGATGTATGTGTGTGAATTTTTCTTAATACATTTTTATATGGTTTAAGAAAAAGGTAAACAAATTATCAGTCAAATCATGTACATGAGCATCATATACTGTATGCATACTAATGCTTTAACACCTACGTTGCTGCACATTCACTGTCAAACACACACACACACACACACACACAGACGCAGAGACGCAGAGCAGGACCATCATCCTCACCTTCGCAAACGAGAGCGCAGGCGATAGCATAGTGCTTATTCACCCTTTTTGCCCACTTAAGCCCTGCCAGATGTTTCAAGAGCAGTGACACAAATTTGATTTCGCTCTTCTAAACTAATTTGATGGCCTATCCCTAGGAGTGGAGCTAAAAGGGTGTCCATGGATGCCAGGTATAATTGGATAGCGCGATAATGAGGTAGAGCAGAGAAAGGAGATAACAGGAGTATTCTCGGGGTTGTGAGGGAATCACCTAAAAATGTATTTCCTGTGGGCTCTTATGCAGCACTGCTCAATCATTCACAAAGTGTGCAGAGAGAAAGAGCGAGAGTTCTGTTATCAAGGCAGCCTGGCAATTAAATTCTGTAACGATATCAACTAGTAGAGCGAGATAAGAGAGCAGGCAAGAGAAAGAAAGAGGGAGAGTCATTGAAAGAGGTTTTTCACAGTGGTCTGAGCATGCTGAGTTTTATTACAGCAGCTCGGGACACGGAAGAAAGAGAAGGTTGGAGAAAGGTTGCAGGAGAAGGCAGGGAAGGAAAGGGGATGAACACAAGGAAGGAAAAGAATGAAATTGACCACTTGCAGCGGAAAATATGGGTTCATCTGGAGTCAGTGGGAGTTAGAACACTGCAGGTGATGAAAGGGGGAAGAGTATGAGAGTTAGGTGTTGAGAGCACAGAGAGGGAGAAAGAAAGGCCTGGTTTGAGTTAGTGAAAAACCCAGAGAGAGCACAGGATGTGAGAATTCGAGAAACACAAAACCATCATGAAGAGAAGCATTTGAAGAATTAACAATAGTTATTGCCTCGTGGTTGCATGCCTCCACTAACCAGTCAAGTTGCAATTTGCATTCATGTCAGTCCAGACTCAACATATATTTTGTGAAGACTGTCAGCCTAATTGCCAAAATAAATTATGGCATTGTAGGTTTCTGCAAACCATGAATATGTTGCATTTGTACGTTTCAATTCATAATTCTATGTTGTGACAACACTGTGGTTAGCATGTGGCTATGTTTAGGCACAAAAAACACTTGGTGAGGGTTAGGAAAAGCTCGTTTTGGCTTAAAATACCCAGTTTGGTTGCTACAAACACAATGTCCCCAATTCTCATTAGAAAAATGTCCTCTTTTTGGTCAGTGGCCTGCTGTTTGGCAGCTGTCTTGCCTGGGTGTAACACCATCCACCATCCCCTCCACCTCTTGATGTGAAACTCAGCTCATATACATGTAATATGAACGATGTCATATGCATGAAATGTATAAATGTAACATATCCGTGGTTTGCAGAAATGTACAACGTTTCATTCTGGCAGCTGGGCTGAGACTTTGAAGAAATGTAGTAAAAGGTATCAAGTGTATTTTTGGCAAAATGGAAGTTATTACTATATCGACAGGCCCGATGATTGGCTGCAAGCCTACTTCTAGCCAGTGCCATTGAAACAGACCGCTTCTTGCCAGCTAGCTAGCCCAACCTGCGCTCCCTCCACCTTATTCCCCGCCATTTGGAAACTACAAAGCCAGAAAGTTTATGAATAGGGCGGGGAGTGGTCGGGTATCAGACCCCAAGTCCTGGGCTTTGCACTGGCAAAAGATGAAATATGACAGCTACAGTGGCTTGGAAAATATATGTGATATATGTGCTGATTTTCAACCAGCTCTTTGTGATTGCAGTAAGGGCAGATGAAGGGTGTTTGGCCTCCCCCCATGCTGCCACAGTGCCCCCAAGCTCCACCCTGTGATGACTGTTGAAAATCGACTGGTTGAAAATCAGCACAGTTTCCCACGCTAATGACTGTAACAACTCGATTTCACCCAGCGATTGCTAGTAAAAACATAAAACACCAGGGAGTCATACACATGTAAAAAAGACAGAGATACATAAAAGAGGCAGAGGGGTATCGAAACCCAACATCCTGCCTCCAAGGAGAGGGATGAGAAGGGGTAGAATTCCTCAGTGTTTTCTGGCAAGGGTGGTTCCTAAGCCACTGATAAACTCAAGCTGAGCCATTTCACAGGACCCCCAGCTACAAGACCCCTCTTTAAACCAGTACCTGACTTCCTGCGTGCCACAGCCAGTATTACTCGAGCCAATTCAGACAGTTTGTTATAGAGTATCTATAGTACTACCTGCAGCAGTAGGCTAGCAGCTAATCTTTGGGCCTTGAGGTCTAGCAGCCAGCTTTCGTCATGCAAAAGAGGCCGTGGTTTCAGCCTAAGTGGGTTGGAAAAACGATATTCACCAATCGAATATGTAATGCCTCTGGCCATGGCTGTTGCTGGTACAGAGGTATAAAAATGGGAAGAAAGTGAGAGCGCCTGGCCCGAGTGGGATACAACAAGTGCTGTGACCCTCAAAGGCACACATTCAGCCATGCGGCAAAAACTAATTGCCTTCTCTTTTGTATGTCAAATGGACCAATTAATAGCTCTAATTACCTATAGCAAGCCAACAATCCAGGCCACGATGACAATTAGAAAGGAATCCGGCGGTTGAGTGGTTTCTAGTGGCTCCTGAGTTCGTCAATACTTTTGATTTCTGCATTTTAAAGTCAATGGTAACGGAGAGAATATTTTTAACTTCACTTCCGAGTCCTGCAGAGAGGAGCGGTGATCCCTTCGACAACTGAATAAAGAAATGTGCCACAGCTAATCGTTATATCTCATTCCCGAGGAGAGTTTGTCATATCGGATTACTGATGGTGCAGGATAACAGTATATCACTTCACCAGCCATCCCAGCGTTTCAGGCAAGAAATAACGACGAAATACTGTACGTACATCTCAGAGCCTTCTGAACTCGCCGCAGCTTCATGGCTGTTCTGTATGCCGAGAACTTGATGTTGTTCAGATCCGCTAATGGAGGGAGAGAGAGATAGAAAGAGATGTAAGAGAGTAAATGAAAAAATGAGGGAAAACAAACCCATCCTGCACCACTCCATCCTGCCATCAAGGAATTAGACACTATCACTATCTCTCCTCCTGGTTATCACACCATTGCAGAAGTCATTAGTGGCGTATATGTTGTATGTGTGTATGTGCACATGCATGTGTCTAGCTTAGCCTGTGTATGCAACAGCATGCCTATCTCCCTTGAAAGCTCTTCGTGTCAGATCAGATTAAAAGTAAAACACATGATGTCGTTTAATCACAATTAATTAAAGGCTAAGCAAAAAGCAATCACAGCGCTGGCAAATTGGGCCTCGTAGGTTAATGACAGTAGAGATGTAGTCCCTAAGGTGTTTGAAATACAGGGCCCTTAATGAGCTGTGTGACAGGGACTTCAAAGCAGAGGCCCAGTGGTGCCGTACTGCTGGTGCTGCTGCAGCCCAGTGGGGGTGCTGGGCGAATGAGCACGACTCGGAGGGTGCTTTAATTGTCTCCTTACTCACCCAGTGCTTGGTACAGTTCTGTCATCTTTGGATGGTCCCAGCACGTTGTCTGGGCCTGATGGCTGAGGGAAGACAGACAAATGAAACAAAAGGAGGAAGAATTCGTGAGGCAGCCGAGAACCAAGGTGCACATTTTCAGGCCAGAAAGATCAAGGTAAAAAAAGGGAGTACAAATGAGTCAAGGGAAGCAGAGACAGATAGGTGAGGCAGACGGTAAAGGGAAGAAAATCAGAGGGAAGTGAGTAAGTGAGAAAGAGAAAAATGAGAGGGTAGGGTAGGGCAATCATTGTTTACAAGAGATTGCAGCCCTGTGAAGTGCAGACATACGTCAAACATGATTCAGGTTCAGACCAAAGTAACATAGTACTGCTGCTATGGTGGAGATCCAGAACACATATTCACACCACCCTCTTATTCCCACTACCGTCGATGCACTTTTAGAAATAAGGATTCCAAAAGGGTTCTCCCTTAAGGGCTTACATTCTAGCCAGGACCATTTACTCCTGATCCTCAAGGGTTCTTTGTAAGACTAAGGGTTCAATTAAGAAACCTTTTCATCCAAAGAACCATTTCAGTTTTCAAAGGATTGTTGAGGTCCTAACCCTAAAATATCCAAACATTTACCCATTTTTCAAGTGGTATTTTTAAATGTAGAATCCTTAATCAATTAATTTTACTTGTGTATTGCCATAGCTGACATCTTTACCATTATTTCATACCATATATACCGCATGATCTGCCAAAATTCTTTTTTAATTTAATGGCCACCAGGTGCTTGGTATTTTGTATTTGATTAAATTTCGAACTGAGTTTCGGTTCCCAACCTCACTGCGCCAATTAAATAGTAAAGGTTAATGTTGCAGTGATTTCACAAAATCTCCTATCCCTTAAAGCCTGACTGTGAACCATAAGTGTTATGGGTCTCACTGGACCACATCAGCCCCGGCCCTTTAGGAGTGTCATAAAGCCCAAGGCTGCTGCACGTGTTCCCTCGCCCCAGGCTAATCTGTTAGACTAAAACCAGCGAGAGAGAGATTTATGGGTAATGTAGTCAACCACTATTTTAGAAGCAGAGTGGATGAGTTCTACCTAAAAACTTTAGAATATAAAAGGGTTCTTGGTAGAACCCCCTTAAAGGGATTCTTGATAACACCCTTATGCTGAACCCTTCCACCCTTAGAAAGTGGAAAGGCTTTGGATAGGATGCCAGAGAGGGTTCTGGGTGGGACTGTTTCACCACAGACCAAAACACTTTGGTGTTGTGCTAACAATGATCACTTCTGGGTTGTTTAAAGTTTAAACATTTAAAGATGTATAGCTGAAACACTGTGGTCCAACCTATGTAACATTTCTGCTGTGCTTATTTTATGTACTGTTATGCTTTACTAGCATCTTTGATAACCCAGATCCACCAGCACTCAAGCTAAGCAATATACTGCTGTGGACAGGGGCCACAACAAATGTATTTTAGCCACCTAAAAGACCCACCTGAAAAATCAGTATCAGTGTAAACCTACACTATATTTGATATATTTTCTCTGCTTTACCTCACACACCAACCAATTGAGGCAAAGGTAGACAAGCAAGCCCCCTGCTCTGTGTGCTCTGTTTTTTTCAGTGGAGTCTGGTGGCTTTGAGATAACGGCTTCAGCTCCCTGTCAGAACAGGCTGTCTGATGGCAAGGTATAGTGGTGAAAATATACTTAATATGGTGTACAATTAAACTGATATTGATTTTTTTCAGAGGGGCTTTTATTACGCAGCTAAAAAGTAACCACTTAAGGTAGCGTTTGCTCTGCACTGTTTCAATTTATGTACGTATTACTGGGTGTTTTTACCCGGAAGTTATTATAATAATCACTGTAATTCAGTCTGTAGAAGGGCTCTCTGTAGAATCTCTCATAGGAGGTTCTGGGTGAAACCTTTAACACATCATTCTAGGTGTAACCCTTTATGTTGGATTCTAGGTAAAACCCACTGAAAGGGTTCCAGGTGTAACCTTTATAAAAGGTTCTACCAGGGACCAAGAAGAGTTCTTCCATGGGACAAGTGAAGAAGCCTACATGGTTCTGGTTAGCACCTTTATTTCTAAGAGTGTATGGGCACATTTAGAAAAAAAAATCCAATAAAAAAGGACAAGCGCAGCAAAATAAATGAGAAACCCCAGAGCAGAAAGTCTGCCAGGACCCAGGGGCCTTTTAGGGCAGCACTCATCATTTTACCTGTGTGAGCGCTCATTGATTGGGACCCAATGAAGTGCTACTCAGGTTCTACTCTCATCCCCATTGGTACGGTAATAAAGCCCATAAAGAATTGACTAGCAGACTAAAACAAGACCCATGAGGTTCTTCTACACATGATTAAGAAAATAAATACTCATAGTCTGCAGAAGAACAAACTGTACAAACACTTGCACAGTTACAAACCTGCACACACAAAGACACCATCCTCTAGGCATAAACACACACACACACACACACACACACACACACACACACACACACACACACACAATTCATTGATAAAACCAGCAGCTCTCTAAAGGTGAAATAGTATTGATGAGGTAAATAGATAAACAGATGAGTGCTCAAGCAAATAGAGTTCTTCTCTGACTCATTCAGTATTTATCTGTTTCACATGGTACCTCTGTACAAATGTTTGGACAACTGAAAGATCTCTGAAAATGTGAGACAAGAAGAGCCAAAAAAGTGGGCTGTATTTTGCAGGCAGAGAAGCATGAAGCTGATAAACCTCTGAACCAATGCCTACATTTCAGGGGCGGGGGGGGGGGGGGGGTCAGTGATTGAAATACTGTATGTCTGCTGCTTTGCTCACTGATGTCTGTTTTCCTGAATGGAAAAATATCCAAGCCAATCAGTTTTTGGAGGCAGGCAATTATCAATACACATGGTGAAATGTGCTAAAAACATATTTCTATGATCAATGTAGAAGATGTTAAAGGGTAAGTTTGGTACTTTTAGCAGGTATAAATCCAGCACACATCTTACTGGGTGAATTAAAGTTTTATTTCAACCAAACTAGAGTGGATGATCGTGGAAGACAAACCAAGATGGCTTTCGTGAGTTTCATTTAGCTTCTTTTGACTTTGAATGAAGTGTGTTTTGATCAGAAAATCTGTACATTTACATGGAGTCAGGTGGGTTTGATGATAGCAACTGGGGGTTTCTGGTTAACGAAAAATGATCTAACTCTTTAACAAACTGTCTATCTCTGTAGGGATCCATTCCAGTGTTTTCAGACAGTGACAATAATAATCTGAGCCTATCAGTGGCAAAAACAAACACTTTCAGATGACATACATTAAGGGTATTGTTATGACCCAGGTCATTATTTTTGTACATATGTGCTTTCTGATGTGAGCTGTCTCAGTGATGCCTGTGCGTCAGTGTGACTGGATCTTACAAGGCAGGTGGTTTTTGCTAATTGGACCATTCGCAGAGGTTGCTGTCACCAAATTGGTCCAGTGCATGACAGAGGATTTTAAACGACAGCTGTCAGATGCTCCTCTCATCGTCTCACTCTGCCATTTCCAACATAGCCAGTACATAGTCTGTAAATGTAGATTTTGTATGTGAGTACCTGCAGGCAAAAACATTCGACGTTGTTAACTAGTGTGTGTTCTTGATGATCTTTGTTATTTAGTAAAGTATTATGATCAGTTTTGAATATGTGAGTTGAGTTTTGTTTAAGAGTTTTTCAGAATTATTGGTGGGTTTTATTTTATTTGAGCAATATAAATAAAGCACTTTCAAGCAGTTTCAGTAAGAGTGAGGAGCCATTTTGTTTGGCAGTGCCATGTTCTTTTCTTTTGTTTTGAATGGTAGGAATTTAGGTTAGATTTGGTATTGCTAGATAGTCTAGGGTCCATTAGTACATTTTTGTTTGTTGTTTTGGGCATTGCTCAACTCTGAGGACAAATAAACAGCTTACTTTGTTGTTTAAGATACTGTGTGCTGACCTTCCTTGGGAGTAGGAAGAGTAGGGGGTCACAGCATGTTATGTCTAGGTTCCCCTAGACCGGGGACAAAACAGTGGTAATTTGTAGCCTGTTGCCACTGCTGTCTGCAACCCTTTTAATCAGAACTGGACCAAATTCAGAATTGTTGTTCCCAATATCCACTGAGACACAACAACTTGTGATAATAAGGTCCAGGTTGAAAAAATACCAAACCTACCCTTTAACTGCTCCAAGCAGCTGCTACCACAGTTTCTGTGTGGACTGTGTATCAGTCAACACTTACTGATCATTGCAAAATAACCTTCACTCCCAAAAAGAAAATGTTAACATGAACACAATGTTAAACTGAGTAATGAAATTTAAAAAATTAATACAACAAGCTGTTCTGAGCCGCCCCTACCCGCCGCTGTGATGTCACTTTGTAAAAAATAAGGCAGGTTAAGAATACTGGCAGCAAGTCACATAGGTCATGTTGAATAACACTACAAACAGCCTGTTTCAGGAGAGTTTTGTGCACACTGGAAACCAAATAAATCCAGGTCAAACTTAACCTTAGTGGAGAAAAATGTAACCAATGTGCTCTACAGACAAACAGCACTTGTACCCATTTGTCATAAAAATTACAAAACACCCCCACCTGAATCCAGTACATACATTCCCACAATACAGAAACTGACCCTGAAGTTACACTTACTTGATATAGTAGGGCACTTTGTTCGGGGAGATGGCACGCTCCCACGGTATCTGCACTGAACCTGCACAAACACACAGAAACCAAATCAATTTCAGAATTGGCATGTCACGCATGAAAAGCCATTGTGCACAAGGTCCCTGACAGCGTGTCCAGACAGCGTGTCCATTCAGACCTTCTTAACAGAGCTACTCTGGTGTACAACAGGCACAGTAAAGCCAAAGAGACACGTCTATTGTGTCGGGTTTCCACAGAGTGTTGGTTTGTTTGGCACGGCCTAATACAATACGGGAGGCAGAGCCCTCGGTGAGACATGGGTGACTGTAGCGCTTAAACCGGCCTCCAAACTGAACCACAGGGGGTCCAGCAGAGGATCAAACAGGACAGACTGCACTGCAAGAAGCAAGAGGCAGACAATACGCACCGACACACACTGATACAGAGGAAAACACCCAACCATACACGCACCGTGTCATTGTAAATTATTGTATCACCACTAGCACAATGCAGACTTGTATGTTGTTGCTCTGCATATGTGGAAAAAACTTGCAAATGCAGAGGCAGAAGAAGTATTCAGATCTTTTACTGAAGTAAAAGTACCAATATCACAATGTAAAAAATACTCTATTACAAGTAAACATCCTTCATTTAATATCCTGTATAAGCATTCCTTGCTAAATGTTCTTAAAGGATCAAAAGTTAAAGTTTTCATTTTGTTTTAATTTTGTGGTGGTCACTGATTGTGGTTCACTACTTCATATAGAGTTCAGTAGTTTAGTCCACTTGCTCCCAACCCAGGGATCAGACCCTTTCAAAGGGTCACACCATAAATCGGTGGGGTCGTGAGATGACTGATGGGTGGGTAAAGAATACAAACAAAGTTCTGCAACATACATTTGTATTTTTTTCTAGACTTTTCTCTGAACTTTGTTTTTTGGGGGAAAATATTGTTGAGTTTTGCCTCAAACAGTTACAGAAATATAACTGATTCAGAAGTCCAGGGGGGAAATCAGTCTTTGGTGGAGCTGTTACAGTAATGAGCGTGAAAGGGGAAGAGAGAGGGGATGACACACAGCAAAGGGCCGCAGGCTGGACTCAAACCCACAGTCACTGCAGCAAGGACATTGCCTTTGATCATGGGATGCCTGCTCTGCCCACTGAGCTACTGGACACCCTATTGTTTATTTGTAATTGGTGAAAAACAAAAACAGCTAACTTATTCAGTTTATAAATGTAAAATCTCATTTGAAAAGAAACTAGTAATTACAGCTGTTAGATAAATGCACATTGGGGTAAAAAGTACAATTTTTCACACTGAAATGTACCAAAATAGTGTAAAATGGCAATACTCAAGTGAGGTTCCTGAAATTATAATCAAAGGGTAAGTTTGGTATGATTCACCCTAGACCACATTTTCCCATGTTTTTTGAAACTGAAACTGCTGCAGCTGGCAGCAGCGAAACAGGCTGCAATGTGACCACTCAGGCTGTGTTCAAACTGTCCATCCACGTACATCCACTAAAAGTGCTTGTTTTAGCCACTGACAAGCTTAGGTTGTTATTTTAAGTGTCTGACAACTTATGGAAAGGATCCCTACACAGACTTTTTTTGTTGAAGAGTAAGATCCTTTTTGTTTAACCAGAAACAGCCCACAAATTGGCACTGCCAAACTCACCAGACGCCATTTAAATAAATGGTAATTTTCATTGTGCAAAGTCGACAGAAACCAAATAAAACTCACAAATACCATCTGGTTTGGTTCGACTCTCCACTGTTCCAACAGTGACCAAGTGTGGTTTGGTTGAAATAAACCCCAAAGTCACCCAGTTGAATGTGGAACTTTGCTGGCTCTGTACACACTAAAATTACTGCTTTATTATTTAAATAGAGTAGGGTTGCAACTGCATGAGGTTTTCATAGCACAATAACCATCTCAGAAAATACCACAGTTTTATGGTATTACAGAATTTATGTTATTATCAGTCAGAACGAGCCTTAAAGAAATGAAAATAGAAGGTTTATTGTTGGTTGAACAAACATTTTATTACTATAATTGAAACTTGAAACCATTTTGTTGATGGAAGTATGTGTAAAAAGTCTCCCCTTAAAAAAATAAAGAGGAGATTCAATGTCCAGTTGTATTTTTCAGTATTAAAGATAAGCAAATGTACTTGGTACAATTACCGTCAACTTGTATATCACAGTGTACCTTGAAACCGGGATATTGCTGCAACCCTAAAATGGAGTCTGGTGAGTTGGGTGATGGCGATATCAGGGCTGTTTTTGTTTAAACAGTAAAGATCTGATTCTTTAACAAAAAGGTCTACCTCTGTAGGGATCCTTTCCATAATGTTATCAGGCACCTAGAATGATAATCTGAGCCTGTCAGTGGCAAAAACAAACGCTTTTAGTGGATGTAAATTGACAGTGCAAATGTGGCCCAGGTGGTTTCATTACAACCTGTTTCATGGCTGTCGGCTACAGCGCTCCTCAACACTTGACCAGTTTCAAAAACGGTTGTTCCTATTAGTCACTAAGACACAAAAACATGAAAAATAGGGCCCAGATTGAAAAATACTGCACTCATCCTTTAAGAGTAAATGTACTCAGTTGCATTCCACCATGGAACAAATCTGTCTATGTAAAATAAGCATCATATGCACTGTTACATACTGTATGTGCTACATCAAACAACATGATGAATAAATGCATGTTGGTGTATAAAAAACACAGTAGCAGACCCAGACATTCCTGCAGGGTACAGTGGGCTGAGCTGGCAGTGGGGGAGTGCTATATAAGCCCCAGTGTGGCATCTCTGAGCCAGCGTGACAGCAGTAAAACTGGATGGGGTTTGGTGAGGACATTGGAGGCACACACACACACACACACACACACAACACTCACACAGAGCATTGCAACACACATCACTTTAAATTAGGTAAAGTAAATCACATTTTCTTCAGCCCTCCTGCTACATCGCTGCAGCCTTTGAAGAGCAGCAGGTAAAAGAAGAGACAGAATTCACAAATATGTATCTCTGCTCAAATGAGAGCAACGACGGATCTGATGAGCATTGCTGGGGATGTTTATCGCAACAGTGTGCTGGAACTGATGAAGACAGACGAACAAAGCCTGCCAGCTCCACCTCTAACCCAAATACACAGGCAAACACACACGTGCAAACACACAGTCATTGTTTTATAGCCTTATCATAACAAAACTGTAATACACCTTAACTTCCTTTTATCCCCCCACACTCTGAGACGGTGCCTTGGCACAGCATGGCACAGATTGGTGCGACATGAGGTACTAACTTCAAATAGAAGAGAACGCTTACTGGAAAGGAAGTGTTGCGATCCGGGGCCAAAGTCTCTATGTGCATCCTGGAGCTGCTTCAGCCGCTCATCTATGGAAGCCTGAGGACACACACACACAAATGCAGAGTTAAATCAAAGGGAATCCTGCTGCTCATCCCTCTCTGCCACAAATCCCCAAAAGAAAGAAATGCACGCACACAGACCACCTGCTTCTCCCCCATTAGTTAACTACGGAATATAAATTATGTCTTTTTCCTCTGCTGCCCCTCTTAAAGGACTTTGAAAGCCTTTGAAGAGCGGCAGGTAGGAAATGAAGAGATAACCTAATAATATATTTTGTTGAAACGAGGACAACGGTTCCTGGTTGCAATGTCAATGTGGAAAAAAGGGAAAAGATGATGAAATGAGAGAGAAGAAGAGGGGGGGAGCTGCAAAGCCTCACATGTGTTGCGTCAATAACCACAGAGAGTTGACAAAATTAAGTTTGTAAAAGCATTTCACATCAGTTACTGTTACTGTTTCCCACCAAATGGGATTTAGCCTGCCTAATCCTGGTTTATTTGAAATGTATTGGATTTGGCACTTGAATCATTGTCAGCTGGGTGTTTGAAATGCGTCCTCAAACAATGGGAGGTAAATCCACTCGCGTTGAGGTAGACAGATAAAGAGAGGAAGAGAGAGGTGACACTATAAGGGGACTTTAGACTTCAAAGAAAGGTGCAGGCAATGAGTCGTAATGTGTAAAGTTAGATGTATTAAGTTGGCATTTCTAAGCGTACACACGTCATTGCTCCCTCGCCAGAAAATAAAACAATATAATCTGAAGCGTGATTTAAATTGGTTGGGACTATTATAGAGCATTGTCAATGTGCCATGGAGATGTTACTGCCAACTGTGCCGTGTTGTACAATCTATTTGTTGTACAGGCAATTTGGGCTGCCATAAGGAAGACAAATGACTGAATTACCCGTGATCGACAAATATTAGCAAATCAAATTTGGAAATACATTTTCATTGGCCAAAATCAACAGGGCACAGGATGTTGCCGGGATTTAGCATTTATCATTTTAATTAAGAGAGAAATGGGACACAGAGGGGCAGACGGAGAAAAAGGTTCCTCCATTCTGCTTGCTTTCACGGTGAAACATAGCAGGTCAGTTCGCATTATAGCGTTGAAATTAATTAACGTGGATGAGCAGAGATAGCAGATCGACCGGGGTGCGAGCGAGACAGTTTTTCAGTTTTTTTTTTGGTTTTTCTCTGAAACCAATGCAACACCTGTCTCTTCACATGTCACTTGGGATCTACTGATATCACAGAAACTCTGGGAACAATTCAAGATCTGGGAGATGAATATCTATCTGCTGGCGACTATGAACACTAAAAGCTTTTTTAATAGTGTTGATCATCAGGGGGGATTAGAGGCTTACATCCTGAATCAAAGACCAGAGGACACCAACTGTAACACACAGTGCATCAAAGATTTAGCAGAAATTGCTCTGTAAAAAAACGTCTTCATGACTACCTCCATCGCAAAGGGACATCAATGGGGAGCAAATGAGTCACAATTTCCGTTCTTTCTATGCAACTCACTCCCAACAATCCTTTCCTAAAATACATGAAACTGTAGTGCAAAGCTGTGGAGGATGTCTCCTTGATAATTCAGGCTCCAGTGAGGGTGTCATCTACAATTTAACGCTTTTAACAGTCATTTAAACTTCACTGTGACATCTCGACCTGAAAGAAAAACTTTCATGTTAATTAAAAAGGAATGAAAGATATGTTACTGATGTGTACAGAAATAAGTCTGACAGATCTTCCTATTTATATGTAAACTCATTCCATCCCACACATTTAAAAAAAAAGCTTGCATGTCAGCTGCATCTAGGATATGAAGTACCTCACTGGTTTTCACTCAAAGAGCACTTGAACTTGATGTGTTTGGTCAAACGAGTATCCTAAAATGGATCACAGCTCAATAAATATGAGAATTTATACAGCAGGAGAGTCTTTTAACAAAACACAAATCCATACTGCACATATTCTGTACTGCATCTACGCACTAATCATCATAGTATACTGTTATACAGACCATTTTATACTAACAGGAAATGATACCATTAGTGCGGCGTCTGATGCCAATCAAACTGCAACTTTGAAAAGCTGCGGCCAATAAACTTCACAAAGAGACATCAACATGTTTTTCTAAGATTTAATGCCTTTGTTTTCCAAGATTTTTTGGAGCTGCAGTCCACCACCCACAATTTATTTTATTATTTTTAGCTGGCAGCCTTTGTGCATTGCATTGTGGCAGAAGAGTGTGCATCAACAGCACAAAAATGGACCATATCTAGCTTTCATAATGTCTGGTTTGAGTATACTTTAATTTGTGAACACCATATATATACTAAGAATCAGTAGGTGGTATGGATTCAGCACATGGTCTAAGAGTCTACAGCAGGGATAATCAACTTGCTTTGCCACAGGGCCACTTTTGCAAAATGACAGGAGGCCAGGGGCCAGTTCATAAACAAACATTAATAATGAATATATAAATAATTAGCCTGGACCTCTGTCAGGAGGTCTGGGGATCCTTCCTGGTACTTTTTTTTATAAACACAGTACCAAAAAAAAAAAAAAATCCCAGTGTGAATTTATTAATTTTTATTGTGAATTAGAAAATGGTCAGTGAGCAACCCAGCACCCTATTGTGGGCCAGATTTGCCCGATGGGCCGTTAGGTGAGTATCAATGGTCTACACCCATACTGGCGGCTCTGTGAGGCGGCTTTGAGCTAAATGCTAGCAAGCGCCAGCATGCTTAGATTTAGGTCTATGGTGCGTTCCAATACCTGTACTACCATACTATTTAGTATGTCAGCAAAATATTTTGTTTGTCCCAATTACATCATATGTCAAATGTAGTATGTCAAAAAGATGTCCTACTGCATCTGGTTGCATTTTTCAGTAAGCAAACCAGCATGATTTTCTGGCTATTCTGACCTCCAGTTGTCTGCGCAGCAGAAAATACGTCACATCAACTGAGCCATAGACAGATAGCACCTCACTGACAGCTGACAGAAGCTGCAAAAATCTCCATAGACAGATTCTGCATATGTATGTGACAAGAATGGAGTGTTATGGCATGTGCTGCTTGTAGTCTGAGTAGTATTAACCAATCATGTCTGAATGAGAGTAAATAAGAGGTTTTCATTAGAGGTTGAACGCATTGGATATCGACTGATGACGAAATTAGCTTTCAATAAGCTTTTTAGAAATTTATCAGCATTCATATCCAGAAATGTGTTTATGGGGGATGAGCAGAAATACCCGGCGCACGGAAGAGAAAGTCTTGACATTGATATCCGCTGGCTACACTGGATCAGCCCAAAGAGTCCGGTCTCACTCTGAAGTTGTCGAAACCGCCGTTTGGGCAGTGACTTGTGGTGTCAGAAACCAGCGAAAAAAGGTGTTTCTAATGTTGGCACGATATGCGGCTGGTTGCCATGATGGTTCAACAGCAGCCGCCACATCAGGGGGGAATGCAGCGGGACAAGGACGAAAGTTAAGGTTGGTGAAAGTCCACGTGGGGCAGGTAGGAGGGGTGGTGGTTGGGCCCAACAAATACTGACTTTCACCCGAGAGAGACAGGTCTTCGCGTCCTGAAAGATTTCAAAGCCAAACCCTGTTCTTTTTCCCTAAACCTAACCACATGTTTTTGTTGCTTAAATCTAATGTGTGTTTGTTGTTGAAGGAAAAAAATGTCAATTTGTGGTGTTGTACCCGTGTTGTTGTTGTGAAAACGGAGGTGCATTTTGAAAGAAGACAATGCATGTAACAGGCAGAACTTGACACGGTATCCCAGAACATCAACAACTAACCATGCACATCGTATGTGAACGCGGAAAGTCCATGACCAAAACGTCAATATGCAACAAGGTCTTTATCATCATCAGTCAGAAGCCAACGGATCCTGAGATTGAAGCCTTAATGATGGACAACAGCGCATCCAAGTGTGAGTACGACATATTTTTTGCGACTCCTGTGTATAACAATACATTAATCTATGTTAATTTCATGCTACAATGCAGCGTATACATGAGCAACAGGGTCAAAGATCAAGGTGCAACACTACGGCAAAGCAGTATGTCTCAAATGTTTGCATATCTCATGTAACAGCATGGACTCTGTAAGGGCTGCTGCCTTTCGTACTGAGAGTTTAAATAAAAGATATGCCATCTGAAACACATGCTGCCCCATTCACCATCTTAGGTTTTTTTTAGCATGCTAACATTTGCTCATTAGCACTAAACACAAAGCACAGCTGAGGCTGATGGGAATCACATTGCTTTTTCAGGTATTAAGTAATAAAGCAAAGTATTAGAGCAAAATAAATTGTGATCTGAGCCAAGAGGTCGAAAAAATCAGTCATGTGCCAGTTCACATGACTGTTCAGTTGTGATTAGTTGCTTAGAGGACAAAGGGCTTTAAGTTTTATTCACTTGGGGCACAGAAAACACTGACTTCCAAATCAAACCCACAGTTATTCTCTACTGCTCTGCTCTGCTGTGTCCTCCTCATGAACTGTTTCACTCCGGGTTATTTCAGGGCCAAAGAAGAAACATGAAAGCCACAAACAGTCAGGGAGCAGCAAGTGTGCAAAGTGGATGGTGGCAATTAATTTCTAAGAATTGTCGATGGCACGTTAAAATCCCATCAGATGGAAGCGAGACAAAGAGGAGGAAGGGCAATTAAACCATCATGACGACGAGACCACATACAAGAAGCTGTGAAGAAAGTGTCACAGAGGTTATCTAATGGGAACAGGGTGTTCTCACTTGAATGGATGTTGTTGTGCTTGTAGGAGCACTACACAGGCTGCTGATGGAGAATGCAGCTTAAGCCTGAACGCTGTACACTATACAGTGACAGTAATGCTCTTTGGATAATGCATCCATACATTCAGCTAAGCATCAAGGGGTGGGCGAGTACAGTACAATGAATACAAGGCACTTTACCCTTGATTTTTAAAAGGCTTTAAGCATACATGCCTTTCATTCACTTAAGAATTGCCTCCTTCGTGTAAGTGCATGGATTCATATTTTGATTCATTTCATTCTGTCGTATTTCTCACTTAAACATCCAATTCATGATGTATAAAAATACCAGAGCCCTGATCTTCACAGCAACTCTACGTGTTAACTGTTATATCTTCTGACCACAGTAGTCTCTGACTAATAAACCACATGTAAAGATTTTTCTCATCTCCTTAAAGTGTGTTCATTAGAGAAATACTGAGCTCAACTCATCACAGGAACGAAGAGCTGCTGAAAAACAACAGCTGTTAGACAGATCCATAACGAGACTGGTGTGTGAAGGCTGTTGGAATTAGACGTGGACAGAAGTTGATCTAAATATATATTTGGACATTTTTAAAATAGCAGCTCAGACAACCTCTGTAACCCCCCATCCTCTCATACCTTAGCTGGCTTTACCTAATGTGGATAAACATGTTTAACTACAAATTACTTTTAGTCTATTTACTAAAAGAACCGACCGTTTTGCAAAGCATGCCTTTTACAGGAATTTGGATTGATTTTGTTCATGATTTCTATTAATGTTCTTTTCTTTGTTCTCCATTTTCTTTCACTGTGGCAGGTTACACAACAGAAGTAAGAGTATGTTAACTGATTTGAAATGAACTGAGATGGTTGAGATTAGATACGAGCTGACTTTGTCATCGGGAGGTGGAGGGGATGGTGGTTGGCGTAAAACCTAAGCACAACAGCTGCCAAGTGAGACATTGCAGCTTTTCTGGGTTTCTTTTTACAACGATTATTTTTCTGGGGCTTTTTTGCCTTTAATGACAGGACAGTTCTGAAGTGTGAAAGGAGGAGAAAGAGGAGGTGGCATGCAACAAGGGGCCACGGGCTGGAAATGAGCCCATGGCCGCTGAGGCAAGGACACTGTCTTTGTACATGTAGTGCCCGCCCTACATACTGAGCTACTACACACTCCTCCAGGGTTCTTATAGACAAACCATAATCTTGGTTTGTGATATTAAACATATGATTGCAATATCCCTGGTCTGAATCTAGCCAAGGATCTTTGTTTAATGTAGTTCTTGAACAGCTTTTTATCTAATAAAAATTATACTCAAAGCTGTACAGCCTGCATTCATAAAGTGAAATATACAGGATTTGTTGTTATGGAGCTGCAGGTAAAGCTTGTGCACTGGTGTTGATCTTTTGGGGAGCTGACGTTTATGCCTTTATTCAACAACTGACAGTGAAAAGATGACAGAAAATGAGGAAGGAGATGTCAAACAACCTGCAACAGAGGTTCCCATCTGGACTCAAACCTGGCATGTTTGAGTTCATGGACGGTGCCTCAACCTCTGAGTCAGTGTTGCCATGTGGGTGGGCTACTTTTGATTACATGGGGCGGGGAAATAGGGCTTTGGACTGGCAGATAAACTCTGGGCTGCTTCTGTCAACATTTGGCAGGTTTTGAAAATATTGTGAATACAAGCTTTTTTATGGTCATCACAGACTTTGCCGCGTCCACCCACCTATAACTGACCAGAAACAGGCGATGCAGTAATAGATCATTGGTTTATATTTGATCAGCACTGCCTAGTTTTACTGTTCGATTGGAGTTTGGTTTGAGAGAGGGGAGGGGGGGGGGGGGTCTTTCTTAATCAGTGTCTATACTATTTGTGTCTGTAGTGATGGGCATAAAAAGTACGTAAGTATAACCAGTAGTTTGAAAAACAGTTCAAGAGCCATCCCAAATTCGCCAAATGACCTGAAGGTGGTCATCTGACAGAGCTGGCTCTTGGGCTGTTTTTCAAGTGAATACAGCCCATTTTTATGGAAAGACCATCTCTAGCAGTGAAATACAACTTTAACTGTTGTCTGGGTAGGTAGGTATGCACTAATCTGGAAATTACTGGCTTTCCCCAGTAGCTTAAGGATCCACACTAAGGGTGCCATGGTGGCCTAGGGCAGTGCTGCCAAATCCGATTGACAGTTTCCAGCCCAATCACAACTTAAGCCCAATCCAACTCAATAAAAAACAGCTCAAATCATAACCATGCCAGAAACTGGTGTAAAACTGTAAAATCATTACATATGCAACAGAAGAAACATCATAGGCATGAAAAGCTTTCTGTTGCATTAAACAACCCAAAATAAAATGTTAGTTAATGGACGATTGCCACCCACAAAGAGTGCATTCAGACAATCAAATAATATTAGCTTATGTTTAGACAACATTTTCAAACCCTGCCAAATGTAGATGAAAGCAGCCCAAAAGCTATTTTACCCAGCCCAACATAATCAATAGTATCCTGTAGAGATGAGCAGGGAGATCTAGACGCTGGTAAGATGGAGGGAAGTTTACCATACAGTAGTTCATTTACACACACACCACCCACGGTGCTATGATGCAAAGTTGGTTGAAATTCGGCAAAGTATCCTGCTAATATTTTACCTGCACATAAGCCACTTTGTTCTGTGGTTTTAATGATCCCTGTGAGTAACTGGCATTCATCTATCAGCTTGAAAACCTTATCTGATCACCGCCTCTAATGATATCAGAATTCACCATCTCACACACGTAAGCACACACACGCCCTTTATCCATTCCCTAATTCACACAGTCCTTCACAGCCTCACAAACTGATAGAGGACAAACAGTGAAGCAGTTGGAGGCCTGGGGTCACATAAACCCTGAACTTGCATTAATACAAACATTACACTTGGAATCGCTCTCTAATGTCTCCTTTGAATCCGACTGCAGGAAAAGCTGCTGCTGACAGCGTCAAACGGGCAACACAGACCCAGCAGTGAACTCTACCTGAAGCACTTTCCATCTGCTGTTGAGATGCTCCAGGGCGCGGGCGTTCTCCATCGACAAATGGACATCAGAGATAGCCAGCTGGTGGGCAAGATCATTGATGTGCTTCATGCCCTCCTTCACTTGGGTCAGCTCCTCCTTAAATAACTGCAGGAGGACAAGAGAGCACAAGATGAGCAGAAGGAGTGGAGATGGAGGGATAGAAAAGAGGAAAAAGGCAGAGATATAAAATATATTAAATTTAGGAAAGATATCAGACTCAGGCAAACACTCGGTCTGGACAAAAACTCCACTGAAATTAAATAAGTGACAAAAATCAATTGAAATGTGATCTGTTATTGCTGTCAGCTCTGTTCTATCTGGAAAATATTTGGCAGTAACCACATATTAACTTAAGTCAAAGTGAAAAGAATGTATAATGATATTTGAATAGCACCAGCCTCTGTTCATAGTAGATTTTATACACAAACAGTGAAGAAAAATAGAGACTTTATATAGTAAACGGTGTCGGACTCAGGGTACATAATAACAACATCCATTAACGGAGTCCCTGTCATTTTGCACTGCGTGGTGTAGGTATGTAATTTGTTCATTTATGTGTTGTGCCACACCTAACTTAAAATATACTTAAATCTAAATTGCTGGACCTCTTGTCTCACAGGTCTACTATCACCAGGCTTGTGATTAATGTTGCGTCCACATGAAATCAGGGAGACGGCAGATGACAAACCAGATATCATTTTATTGGACAGGAGATCATCAGCAACAAATGCCAGCAACGGCAACAGCAGACAGCAATAGAACTTTCTGCCATCCTCTGTGATGGAATTTACAACCAAATGTTACGTAGCTCCTCACACAAGAGGAAAACACAAGCAATCTGGGGCATGTTCGATCTCAAAACGGTGTGCACCATTTTGCTACGATTTCCAGGTTGAACGACATGTTTCCTTAAAATGATGTGCAACTAACTATGAGGGTTTTTTTCTCTCATTGGGTGAGTGTGTCAGTGATGCACCCAATCAGCAGCAATGTATATACAAACCATAAGTTTTCCCATGCCAATAAAGCACGTTTGGCTTGAATTTCGTAAAAGGCAGTGTGCCTGCATTACACAACAGGGTGCTCAATGCACCATCGCTTCTGTTTGGATGAACGTTTTACTACGTTTTGTCGGGGCTGAACACAGCCCTGGACAATTACTGGACAATTCCACAACCGCATGAAATAATAAACATGAAATAACTTTATTTATTGTATTCTATTCCATTCTTTGTAAACAATATGACATCACCATCGCAACATATTGTTATGCATGCTCTGCTTTACTGAACTGTCTTCCTTTGGACTGTGTGTTTGTTTTTTCATACCATCGAGAAGCTGTTTTCTGTCTGCTGCCTACCATCTGCGTGACTCCATGTAATTGCAGCATGCTGATTCACATAGGACTGTTATGACAATATCATATGACCTATTTTCTAAATTACGTGAGCTCCCCTGGTAATACTAGTCCCGTGTGAGTAGGGCTGTAGAGGACCATCACAATTATTACAAATTGCCTGAGGACCCCAGGTAATATTACTTCCATGAGAATATGGCTGAAGACACCATAAATAAAGAGGACATGTTGTTTATATATATATTTTTTTTATTTTGTCCTGATGATGTCTTATTTGACATAACACAGAGGAGACCTACATAAAAGATTAGGAGTGAAAGGTACTATAAGGCATTCACAACTAGGAAGCTGCGTGGCATGAACTCCAGCAAACTCAGCCTTAGGACAGCCTGAAGTCTCATGTTTTTTGGGGATTACTTCTCCTCATTTCTTCCCGAGAGCACCGTTTGAATGACAGGGTGTGGATTTATGTAAAAACTCCAGCACATTAAAATAATGTTCAAACACAAATGCGGCTGAAATCAAATTAAGGTTTCATGTTTACCGTGATGGATGATCTACCGCAGCTTGAGTAATTTGTAACCCTGTGGAAGCTTCACACTGTGTAGATGTGAATTTCACCAGAATGGCTTCCTATAATGGCAGGACATTAATCCCTGGTATCTGCAAATATGCTGACTATCTTTAGACACCAGCAGGGACAATGTAAAAGGGAGAGGCAACAAAAATTATAAGGAAGGTAAGAATGCATCACTGTTATGCTGGGCGTCTCAGAGCAAGTGTGCACATTTGTTTGTCTGTGTCAGTGCATACTGTGAGTGTAGAGCTGGAACAATTAGTTTAATAGGCAATCAAGAGGAAATTAATCTAAAGCTGTTTTGATAATTGATTAATTTTTAAGTAACCTTTTTTCCAGCAAGGAAGGTGGGTTTGCTGCTTTGATAGCAAATATGTTTTTTGGGTTTTGGACTGTAAATCAGATGAATCAAAATAGTTCAAAGTCCCTCTCCACTCCAAAATGTCTGTCCTTGACTATAGTGACTTGTACCTGTGCAAAGTTTGTCACTATAGAGGTCCTTTCACAGTCCTCTACAGAGGGACAATGTCTCTGCACTTACCTAAAATCTGAGATTCAAACATACACTGGGCAAATTAGATCAGGTACGCCACTACGATGAAATCCAATCACTGTCAAATATGGTAACATGTATCGACGGGGAAGAGACTTTGTACAACACTGGCAAAGAAACCTGAAACCTTGAGTGCAGAGCGGACTTGTCAGCACAGGGAGCAGAGTTAGCATTAGGGAAAGTTTGACCCCAAACATGGTGGATTTTTGGATCTTTATTCCATTCATTCATTCATTCACTCATTTTCCATAACCACTTATCCTGTTGGGGGTCGCAGGGGGGCTGGAGCCTATCCCAACTGACATTAGGCGAGAGGTGGGGTAGACCCTGGACAGACTATCCCAGGGCGGACACATAGAGACGGACAACCATTCACGCTCACATTCACACCTACGGACAATTTAGAGTCACCAATTAACCTACATGTCTTTGGATTGTGGGAGGAAGCTGGAGTACCTGGAGGAAACCTACATTGACACGAGGAGAACATGCAAACTCTGCTACATGCTAACCACTACTCCACCATGCCGCTTTATTCCACTATCTACCAAAAACCTCATCGCAGGGTTGCCTTCTAGTTCACCTGGTAGAGTGTGTGCACGAGTCCTTTGCAGCGGCATAGGTTTGATTCCAACATGCAGCCATTTGCTGCGTGTCAGCCCCTGCATGTCAGGACCCATGAACGCTGTGTCAGCCACTGCCAGTTAGCTTACCTTCTAACAAACAGCATTGTAGAGGCTACGCCGATGCTTCAAGCCATGGGATGACTTAACCGACACGCTGATTGTTACCATGTCTGATCAATTAAACTTGTCAGTGTCCATTAAACTCAAACATGTTTCCAAAAATCCTCAAAAACATCCACATGTTTAACTCCCGCAGCAACAAGCTGCTTGAGCGGTCAAAAACGTTTTCCTTCTGGGTGGAACACCTGACCAGAAAAAGAAAGGTCCCTACTATGTATAGTGATGACTGCTAATTACCCTGTGAGACCTGACACCCAATAGAACGTATACACCATATATAAAAAAAAAATCATTCATGCATATTCTGCTCCTACAAGCGTTAACAAATGAAAGATGCTAGCTACACATGTCTGCAGGGGGACTTTAAATATGGTACTTTGGGATTTTGAAAAGCTGTGACAGACATTTTATAGATCAAATTATAGACCGATTGAAATAAGCCTTAGTCACAGCTCTATCTGTGTGTATGCAAGTGTGCAGTATGTGGCTTTCTGTGTGTCTAATTTGCATGCATCTGTGAGTGCGTGCTTTTATATGTGTCTGTGACTACATTTAAGTGAGTGAGGGAGATGACGCCTACTTGACAGTCCTGCCCTAAAGACCAAGCCTAACATGTGCTGCCTGTGACAGGAGCCCAAACAGTGACATGATTATTGTGAAGTGCCCTCACCTCTAATGAACAGCGCCACACAAATTACAGGCAGCAGCGGCACCTCGGCACTCCATAATGACTGAACCAATGACCTGCCATTTGCTTAACAACATCTTTCCAACTGGGGGATTGTAACCTCTGCCATCTCGCTGTGTCAGTTTGAAGTGCCGTGTCCTTGTCATCATCTGTCAGATCGCAGCTACTCCGAAAGGGACGTGTGTACACAGGCAACCAAAACAAACACTTTAAAGCAACCCAGCCTTGTACACGTCCCTCACTTATTCATGAGCAACATACCACTGCTGTGTTATTGTGATAAAAAAAGCAGGATGTCACTGTTTTGATGTTTGTTTATAATGTGTTAAAGTGCGTTTTTCTGGGTTAGTCGGAGGCGATTACTTCAAAGGAGACAATTAAGTTACTCCACAGGTAAAAGCCATTTATATCTAGGATTCATGATAACGTGTCTGCATGTACGAGTGTGTGTGCATTAGGGAGATAAGAAGAAAGACAGAGTGTGTACGTAATGCAGCATGTTTTCTGTGTCTACCTTGGTGGCGTCTATGTGGTCCTGCAAAGAGTCGATGAAGAGGTCTCCTACAGGCTCCCAGGCGTCTCTCACCCCCTCTGCCTGCTCCAGGGCCACTGCCAGCTCCTCCATCGCTGCCTGGATCTGGAGTAGACGCTCTAATGTCCTCTCCATGTGTCTGGGGAGTTTTGTTGAAAACATAATTCATTACAGTTAACTACCTGCACCATAAAAATTTGGAGCTAATGCAAGCACAAAAAATTCTATCAACACCCACAGAGCATGCAGTCCAACACATCATTTATTTAAATTTACAGACTGTCGTTTCAGCTGAGCAGCGTGCACATTATTCCATACCATCATTTCATAATCTAAATGCCTTTTCTTTGAAAACAGGTTTTAATATTCTACTGAGCTCTGAATTTTCAATGATCTAAAACTTGATGAATGTGTGTTCCTAATTGTTTCTGTAATGGATTATATTTGCCGCATTTTGTAATCAGGTTATGGTAATTGTATTACGTGTAATGTATTGCAGCAGAACCCTGCTATGGATCAACTCTCTCTCTCTCACACACACACACACACACACACACAGAGTCTCAGAGAGAAATAACACTCCCAACTTCATAGCTTGAAAAGTTACAGGTACATTTGTGCTGTATGGTAAAAACTTTCACACCTAGCCTGTTGATTCAGTAAAAACAAACTCTGATATGGATTAAGCATGATTTCAGAAGCTAAGCTATTAATAAATCCATCTACTGATTGTGAAATCTGTCCATGATCTCATAATTGATTTGTAGCTTAAAGTCCTTGTGCGCCCATCAGCCAAAACATTAAAACCACTGACAGATATAATATACAGTACAGGCCAAAAGTTTGGACACACCTTCTCATTCAATGCGTTTTCTTTATTTTCATGACTATTTACATTGTAGATTCTCACTGAAGGCATCAAAACTATGAATGAACACATGTGGAGTTATGTACTTAACAAAAAAAGGTGAAATAACTGAAAACATGTTTTATATTCTAGTTTCTTCAAAATAGCCACCCTTTGCTCTGATTACTGCTTTGCACACTCTTGGCATTCTCTCCATGAGCTTCAAGAGGTAGTCACCTGAAATGGTTTTCCAACAGTCTTGAAGGAGTTCCCAGAGGTGTTTAGCACTTGTTGGCCCCTTTGCCTTCACTCTGCGGTCCAGCTCACCCCAAACCATCTCAATTGGGTTCAGGTCCGGTGACTGTGGAGGCCAGGTCATCTGCCGCAGCACTCCATCACTCTCCTTCTTGGTCAAATAGCCCTTACACAGCCTGGAGGTGTGTTTGGGGTCATTGTCCTGCTGAAAAATAAATGATGGTCCAACTAAACGCAAACCGGATGGGATGGCATGTCGCTGCAGGATGCTGTGGTAGCCATGCTGGTTCAGTGTGCCTTCAATTTTGAATAAATCCCCAACAGTGTCACCAGCAAAACACCCCCACACCATCACACCTCCTCCTCCATGCTTCACAGTGGGAACCAGGCATGTGGAATCCATCCGTTCACCTTTTCTGCATCTCACAAAGACACGGCGGTTGGAACCAAAGATCTCAAATTTGGACTCATCAGACCAAAGCACAGATTTCCACTGGTCTAATGTCCATTCCTTGTGTTTCTTGGCCCTAACAAATCTCTTCTGCTTGTTGCCTCTCCTTAGCAGTGGTTTCCTAGCAGCTATTTGACCATGAAGGCCTGATTCGCGCAGTCTCCTCTTAACGGTTGTTCTAGAGATGGGTCTGCTGCTAGAACTCTGTGTGGCATTCATCTGGTCTCTGATCTGAGCTGCTGTTAACTTGCGATTTCTGAGGCTGGTGACTCGGATGAACTTATCCTCAGAAGCAGAGGTGACTCTTGGTCTTCCTTTCCTGGGTCGGTCCTTATGTGTGCCAGTTTCATTGTAGCGCTTGATGGTTTTTGCGACTCCACTTGGGGACACATTTAAAGTTTTTGCAATTTTCCGGACTGACTGACCTTCATTTCTTAAAGTAATGATGGCCACTCATTTTTCTTTAGTTAGCTGATTGGTTCTTGCCATAATATGAATTTTAACAGTTGTCCAATAGGGCTGTCGGCTGTGTATTAACCTGACTTCTGCACAACACAACTGATGGTCCCAACCCCATTGATAAAGCAAGAAATTCCACTAATTAACCCTGATAAGGCACACCTGTGAAGTGGAAACCATTTCAGGTGACTACCTCTTGAAGCTCATCGAGAGAATGCCAAGAGTGTGCAAAGCAGTAATCAGAGCAAAGGGTGGCTATTTGGAAGAAACTAGAATATAAAACATGTTTTCAGTTATTTCACCTTTTTTTGTTAAGTACATAACTCCACATGTGTTCATTCATAGTTTTGATGCCTTCAGTGAGAATCTACAATGTAAATAGTCATGAAAATAAAGAAAACGCATTGAATGAGAAGGTGTGTCCAAACTTTTGGCCTGTACTGTATATATATATATATATATAATACCGATCATCTCGCTACAATGCAATGTTCTGCTGGGAAATCTTTGGTCCTGGCATTCATGTGGATGCCACTTGAAGCACTTCACTCATCCAAGCACTGTTGCAGACCAAGTCGCCCCCCTCATAGCAATAACACTCCTCGATGGCGGTGCCCTTCCTCCAGCAGCACCATGCCTCACCACAAACAATGCTCAGAAATGGCCCAAGGAACATAACGAAGAGTGCAAGGCATCAACCTGGCCTCCAAATTCCCCAGATCCCAATCTGATCAAGCATCCGTGGGACATGCCAGTATCCCATCTCACAACCAACAGGTGTCAAAGGATCCACCGCCAACGCCCCAGTGCCAGACTCCACAGGACACCCCCAGAGGTCCTGTGTCCACACCTTGACATGTCAGAGCCAAGTCCGATCCAAAAAGGCCTCACAGTGGATCAGGGGTACCTCTGGGGTACTGACACATCCCATGAATGCCCAATCAGATTGGAATCTGGGGCATTTGGAGGCCAGGTTGACGCGTTGAGCTCTCTGTCATGTTCTTCAGGCCATTCCTGAGCTGTTTTTGCATGGTGCATTGTTCTGCTTTGTGGTCACTGCCATCAAGGTGCATTGTTGCCATGAGGCAGGGTGTAGTAGGTCCACAACAGTGTTTGGGTGGGTGCTGCGTGTCAAGTGGTATCCACATGAATACCAGGAACCAAAATTTTCCCAGCAGAACATTGCGTGGTAACAATATGATCAATATTAATCACCTCCTCCGCCAGTGGTTTTAAGGTTTTGGATGATCGGTGTATATATAACCTATTTATGCATATTATTTGATAACAATGGTCAATGGTACCTCAGCATGCATACTTTTCCTGATTAATAGGTTAAAAACTGTTAAAACTGTTGTGCTTATACTTTGTCAGTTCATGAAGTCCATTAAAAAGTGTGTCAGTGATTCCACAGTAATACGCCCTGAATCATGACCTAACAGTACCCCTCCTTGTCCTTCCGTCTCTACCTGTTAGTCATTACACATAACGTGGTCCATTTGTATTATATTTGTCTAATAATACTAATAATGCTCATAACGTGTTGTTTCTTTGTGAGCTCTTTGTGACACCCAAGAACATAAACATGCATTGAAGTGCTGCATAAACTTCTGTCAGTAATTGCAATCTGATTTCCCCAAGTGGGTCATGATGTTGCAGGATGATCACCAACGCTGTCCAATCAACGAGCTACCTGTAAGTCTGTTTAACTTCATGTTTACTCCCTGTGTTTGTTTGTAAAAAAGTCAGTGTAAACAGGAACCATATCAGAGCTACAATTCAACAATATCATTTTTTCCTCACAGTCCTGGCAGAATGAACCAAACTATAGGTGTGAAGGCTCCCTAAGGATGCTGACTAATCTGACTAGAGAATTCCCCAGTGTTTTTGTTGCTGCTGTTTACATTCCTCTGATGCAAGAAGCTCTAAGAAATCCACTTGTTTTTGTTTTGTTTCTGGTTTTTTTGTGTAGAGTGCATTTGTTGGGCAACCCAGTGTTGTACAATGACAATAAATGAACCCTGACAAATAATTAACATCGACAATTAATGAACCGTGAACACTGAACACATCATAAGATTTTTATCCAAGCTTGATTCAGTTCCTTCATTCTTCATTCATGAAGATTTTTTTTATTCATTTCAAAAGGTTTGCTTTCAGGTGAAAGTTTAATGAGCACATGGCACATAGAACTTACTGACCTCCCCTGTAAACGTCATTATGACATTACATTATTAATTCAATTCAGAAATATTCACCAAAACCTGAACTAAAAAGCTTTCAGAGGATAGGAAAATGCTGCTGTTCTGAACAGAGATCTGACTCAAAGTCTGCTTCTAACACTGACCTTGATTATAAACTTATAAAGCCACTACTCTCAACAGAAAACCCTTTTCCATTCACCAAAAAATTTAATATTTTTGTGCTTTTACAATTACTGACATGGGCAAATGCAGAAACCCAGCGGCTGAAGAAGTATTCAAATGTTTAACTCAAGTGAAAGTACCAATATGACGACGCAGAAGTACTCTATTACAAGTTTAAGTCCTACATTCGACAAGTGTTATCAGCAAAAGCATTGCTTCTGACATTATAAGATTTATATTGATGCATCAATGCATAAGTAGCTGGTTGTGGCGAATCTTTTTTTTTCACTACTTTATAAACAGCCTAGTAGTTTAGCCCTGTTGTTTATAACCTGGTAGTTGAGCCCATCCAATGGGTCACATGATCAACCTAAGGGGTCATGACATGATTAATGGGAGATCAAAGAAAAAAAAAAGAGGAAACAAAAAGTTATTTTCTGCAAATTTGTTTTCAATTTTGACAGTGTTTGTTCACTCAACTCTAAGATATGTCATATCACCTTTATGCTGATGATACACCGATCTATTGCTCTGCCAAACCCAATAACCTGAATTAACTTTCGTCCTAACTGTCCTGGCTTAGCTGACTCCAAAGATTGGATGTCCTATAATTCCCTCCACTTAAACCCTGACAACCAGAAATTCGTTTAATTGGTCGTGATAACTTTGCCATTGTAGTTGATCGGTTAATGGGTGCTCTTCAATAAAATATTAAACCTGTTACTAAGAATCTTGGTTCAATCTCTGAACAGTATGTGACTTTTGACCATCATGTTACCATGGTGTCTAGATTATTGCAATTCCCTCCACACATGTCTCAGTCAAGCTGCTTTAAATCACTCACAGCTGGTTCAAAATGCAGGTGCCAAGCTATTAAGTAGAGGTAACTGTTGTTCACGCATTGCACCTGTTCTTGCATCCCTCCACTGGCTTTCTGTAAAATTCAGATTTAACTACAAGACCCTGTTAATTACATATACGGTACTGCATGACCTTGCCCCACATTTCTAATCTCCTCATTTTCCATACCTCTTCTCGACCACTCCAATCCTCAGATCTAATGCATTTGCGATTTTAGCCCCAACCCTCTGGAACCATCTTCCCCAATTTATCAGCAGATTTTCTGAATCTTTGGACTGTTTGAAGCGGATACTAAACACTCACCTTCATGGGCACACATTTCTATAGATCTTTGTGTTTTGTTTGTTTTAGTTTCTTCTGTCTCTCATTGTGCTGTGTTCTGCATCCTTATTTTTTACTTGATTTATTCATTCATTTACATTTTTCATAACTGTGTGTCTTAAAAATGTACTATATAAATAAAGCTTTTCTTTCATCTCATAAACTTTTACCTGTCTGAGCTTTGACCAATTATTCAAATAACACCATGTTTAGAGATGAAATGTCTCTTTGGTGGAACAACTCAGATGTTTGAAATGTGACACAGGGCCACAACTATACACTGCTATTTGTAAAGGTGTACAAATCAAGGTAGGAACCACTGGTGAAATCTTTATCAGTACATTGTATTACGTATGCTTATCATGTTTTTTTGTTTGTTTGTTTTTTATTAAATGTAAAATCATAAACTGTAAAGTAACTTAAGCTGTCAGATAAATGTAAAGGCAAGAGTAGCTTTATTTCCACCTCTCCAGGAACCTCATTTCATCTGCACAAGATACACACAATGTAAAAAAAAGTGTCTGACCTATGGCGGTCCACACAGCGTGCCGTCAGCTTCTCCCACAGGTCACTGGCAACGTTCGCCTGCTTCCACACTGAGCGGCTCACATTTAAGATTCGCCGGCGTGGAGACACCTCTGCAGAGGGTGGATGAGGTTAGACGAGGCCACGCAGGGGTAAAAGCATAAAGGTGCAAAGGAGGAAGTAAAAAAATAGAGCAGGCAGAGAAATAACAGGGTGTAGAGTAGAGCGGGGGTTAGAGGTCAGACAATGAGAGGAGCAATGATCGGAGACGAAAGGTGCACCAACAAACAGAGAGAGAAAGGAAGGGCCAGGGGCAAAACAAGTTGGACACACAAGGAGAGCACAGTCAGGTAGATTGCTTCAATATTTCCCAGGTGAGCGTCCTGTGCTAAGAGCCAAACAGTACGAAGAGGACTTGTCGGTGGAGAAACAGCAGAGCTTGCTGTATTATTGATCTGGGCAGATGGTACCGTGAAGCTGGTGAGCTGGAGCTAATTGGTCCCGACCCGGACACTTTCCCTAAACCCAGTGTGACACCAGAGGACGAATCACTGCTGATAACTATTAATGGAAGATTCTACCTGCATGGGTCCTTCCCAATGAACTTAGTGGAGGGATGTTGCGAGTATGATATTTTGGCTGGCTCAGCAGTTGGCACAGAGTGTGAAGGGAGCAGACCTTTTCCATCGGTCAGGGTCTCCTCTGGCTCCTGGAAGGGATGCTGAGCCAGAAAGGCCTGGGCAGACTCCAAGACTGAGTAGATGAACGGCCCGCGAGACTTGACATCCTCCATGAACGCCTGCCGGGAGACAAACAGAGAGGAGGAGAGTGTTTCTAAGTGGAAGAAAATGAAAGGCATAAGCTGTTTTTCACACTCAAGTGCTGGTTGTAGCTGAGGAGGAGGAGTCCTGTAGGCTAAGGTGAACCATTGCCTATTCCTCAAACAAGACAGCATTGCCTAAAAATAGACCAAAAGTAATGCCAATCATCGGCTGGTTACAGCTTCTCCAATGTGAGGCTTTGTCTTTTAAATTTTAACTTGAATAACTTTAGATTTTGTATTACTGGTGGAACAAAACAAAACATTTGAAGACATTTTGATTTACATTTTTCTGATTTTTTTGACATTTTATAGTCTGAAAAATGTATAATCAACAGATGAACTGATAATTAAAATAATTAGTTGTAGCCCTATTGTATTCGAGCAGATCTCACAAGTAACATCAAACATTTTCCAGGTTTATCACCTGGGCCCAGTCATTTGGAAATCCCGTATTTTCCATGAACAGCTAATCCATCTTACTTTTGTCGGTCAAGATTCTCCATCATCCAGGTCATGGTCATCATAAGTGCTATGATATAGCACTTATGATGACCATGACCATGATGACCATCATAAGTGCTATGATATAGCACTTATGATGACCATGACCATGATGACCATCATAAGTGCTATGATATAGCACTTATGATGACCATGACCTGGATGATGGAGAATCTTGACAGCACCTGCGATGATAAGTGGTACTAAGTCAATTTGGGAAGAATGCCCTTTGACTGGTACAAGAATTTGAAAGTTCAGAACTGAAGAAACTTCTTGGATGAAAGGCAAAATGTCTTCAAGAAACGCAAGTAAGTCCAGTTGCCTACAATATAGCACTTATGATCATCTTACTTTTGTAAGCAACGCAAGCAAAGCAACACTGGAGTGGATCACACTGATCCAGATACAAACTTTTCAAGTTACAGAATCTGGTTAACTAGTGCTCTAAATGGGGCTACATATCACAATGTAGCCAGTCTACCAACAAACACACTACTAGTACCACTTATCATCGCAGGTGCTGCCAAAGAGAACAAAATGGAGATTTTTTGATTCCGACAGCTATTTGGGGGATTATTTAATAGGGACGACATCCTTTTTTTACTTTACTGCACTGAAATTTTTATACAGTATGTAGCCTAATATCTTACTTTGTACTTTCAAGTACAAAATGTATATATTTTTGACCAGTTTTATAACCTTTTGTTCCTGAAATCTACCCTGAATCCAGCCCTCTGCTGGGATCAGGATGATCAAAGGTATCCCAATCCCACCAAAAAAGTATTGAACAACACGTACTGAAAGTTTGATCCTCTTCAAAACCAACACCAAGAACAAATGGGCCCAGGAGGATGCTGTCAAACTGGCATGACGATACCTTCACCTGGGTACAATCACTGCTGCCATGATCACTGGAAAGTCTGGTCTTGACACCCCTTTGTAAATGTGCTTCAGTTACCACCAACCCTCTGAAGACGGCAATAATTTTTATGGTAACTGTGTGTGACGATAAGAGCTGATCTTTCTAAATTGGACTGTTATTGCAGTGAAGTTCATTTGTAAAGAAAGGTGACAATTTTGTGCTAAATGTAAGCATATAACCTAATCTAAATATGTCCAAATAACACAGGAGAACTAAGGCACTATTTGCTTTGCACCGTGGTTAGAGGTGCATTTCACCCTTTGCAGGTGCTCTGATAATTACCCTCCTTTTTTTGTCCTGTTTGTGCAGGTTTAGCAGCTGCAAAAGCCGCATAATCCTTTTAATCAATGCTCAAATCAATGCACTCATGAGTTCACTGATTTGAGCAGGGGTGCGTTTTATTGTCTATGATTTTAACTTTTAACTTGCAAGAAAAGTAATGTGTTATTTCTTTATCTGAAAGTTAAATTAGATCGATTTAAGAAGACACCAAACACACACACGCATATAAAAGACACACCAAATGGCATAACTGGCTTGTTTAAATACATGGGTTACCTAAAGGAATCATTGAACACACACACACACACACACACACACTCAGCACAACCTACTGGCAGTACTGCATGAAATTACATGGCTGTCTGCTTGTGCTGAGAGCCCAAGGCACAACAGGAGACCAAATCTACTGGGAGCACTGGTCAGCTGGCCGCCACACACAGAACAGCCAATTAGCTGGAGAGCCCGGCTCCACTGGTCCACATTTAACAGCACTCCTTATGCAAGAACACACACACACAGTATAGACCTCTTTACTCCACCACTGCACAGATACCCAGAGTTTCCCCAGGGCCTTTAAGAAAGCCAGTGTGTCAACCTTCTTCATTCTCCTACACTAATCTTTGTTCTGTATAAAACACACTGCAGGTGTGTGAATTAATGCCAGCTCTCTTCAAAGTAATTTATTTAGGTGAAGCCAGCGTACTCAATCCTCTTATGCTATGAAGAGATTACGATTTCAGCTGAAAATCTACATTACTGGCTGGAATTAGCAGCGTTGTGCGGTGCAGCAGTGTTTCAGTGCGTATTAGAAAAACCTCAGGACCAGAGAAACGGCAGGCCTGATAACAACCGGCGAAACACCAGCAAACACCAGCCGGCACCGAGCAAACATGCAAAAGTGTGTAACGGTGAGGAGCTGTGGCGCAAGATAAGATTCCCACTGCAACGGTCATGGAGAAAAACCTGCTGTCTTCCTCTTTCACACTCTTTCTCTAATCACAAACAAATTCCCTCTTCTTCCTTACATCCTCGCTTCCTTACATCCTCGCTTCCTTCCTTTCCTTTCCCTTCCCTTCCCTTTACCCTCTTTTCATCCTCTCTCGCTCTCTTTATTCTCTCCATACCCTCTTTAGCTGCTTTGCTGCCCAAAGAGGAGCTGAGCTACGGATTCCCTGAGCCAGCTGTCATGTTAAAACTTTAATTCCAGCTAAATTTCACACTCAGAGGCTTCATCTTTGGTTGAAGGAACATTAAGAGCGAAGCCTTCAGATCAGATTAAGATACATAATGCATGGGGTAGAAAAAGTCAGGGGGAGGAAATGACTTCATTGACTTCATTTCGTCTAAACATGTTGATGGCATTCCTTTTACCCCTCCCTCTGGACAGTTCCTCTCAGTGCACTTCTGAGAACACAGAGGAGGATGAATTTTTATTTCATTTGCCCTCTTGCATGACGCAGAGAAGATTCTGCAGCTGACGCACAAAATCCCTCCCATCCACTGAAATCACTCACTTATCCCGACGCCCCAACACACACAACCCTCACAAACACATCTTCCCACTCAAACCCCCCACCACCAACACCCCAAATACACAAACAGTAAACATGCTACCAAACCAATACACATGCAAATGCGCACACACACACACAAACGCAGCAGAGAGAGAGCTCTTCCCACACACAAAAACGACATCAGAATAAATCCACTTAAGATCAATAATTCACATTTCTTAAAACGCTTTAATTCTCCATAGAAAACTGGGATGCAATTTCCCTCTCTGCTTTGTCGGAAAAGTTTTAGAGCGACCAGACGCTCGGGAAGCCGAGGCATCTCAGATTATAAAGGCGTGCTGTGCTGAAAATGGAACATTTTGAGAGAGGAAGAGGAAGAGGAGAGGAGAGGAGAGGAGGCATGTTCAACAGTGAATCCTATGAATGACTTAGTGAATTTTTTTTTCGGCTTATGCAGTGTTGGAGGGTTGGCTGTGGAAAGAGAGAACATGTACTGCAGTTTGTGTGCAAGGTACAGCCACAATTTTAGGTTAAAAAAATTCAAGAAATAAACATAATCAACATAAAGTGAAGAAGTAACAGTGTTGATGTTTTGTCAAGGGCGTCTATGTATTGTGCTGTAGAGGTATCGACTGAAATTAGCATGCTAACCAGCTAGCCCCAGCCCATCCTGTCCTGTAATACCACTTGAACCTCGAGAGGTGAAAGTGAGTCACTGCAATGTCCAGTCTGCCCCCAGTCCAACATGAGAATACGAAAGAAAGAGTACAGCCCCTGGTTAGTGGCACAGTAAACACAAAGGCTACATTCACAGTCATTTTCGTTTTAAAACACATAACTTTTCATAATGCAAAAGATGGCTGAAGAATTTGGCAAACCACGTTTATTACATCCTAAACACCTGCTACCAGCAAGAAACCACTGCTGCTGGCAAAGAAAAGAAGTGAAAACAAGAGTAAGCATTGGTGTGGCTTTGCACGGCTAGAAACCGCTCTTGGCGAGTAAAGAGATGAAGTTTGATGCTGAACTCGTAAAACTTTAGACAGGTAAGTTGCTGGCTATTTAGCAAAATGTATTTTTAATGCAACTAATAACAACACAAAACATACCAAAAAACATTCCAAATGGTGTCAATATTTGGGTCTGATCCAGCTGTTTTCAAGCTACTATGGTTTTGCAACAGCTGAGCTAAAACCAGTGTTTTGCATGAATGTGCTAAAAGAGCAAGTTCATTAAAATTGCAAATTTTTGACAACTTATTAACCTCACTCTAGCTACAGTTAACAACGCTCGTTTTTTACAGCGTCCGTTATGCCGGCTTAACACCAGCAGACAACGCAGCTATTGGTGCTGCTGAATCCAGTTCATGTGGCTATTTAAGGATGTTTATGAACAAACTAAAAAGTTACAGATTCCAACTAGGTATACCACTCTTAGTTGACTTTGCTTTCGATAGCTAGACACTCATTAACTGGTGACTAACTGGTTAATGAAAAACAAAACAAAACATGCACAAGATGTGACATACAATAGGTCTTTCCTTTTAGCCCGGAGCTCCATTGACTCAATGAGCTTTAGCGCCACATTTCAGAGCTCCATCCACTTAGGTGCTGATGTAAACTGCCCTTTATTTCATTTTCTGTTGGCTTTGCTGACAGACATCAGGCTGGCTGCATTAACATAATGTGCTGCTCTGCACTGTGCACCACCTGGGTTGGAGAGGAGCTAGCTAGCAGCTCCAGTTATTCAGGAAATAC